TTAACTTTAACATTTTATCTACAAAATGCCACCTTGCCATATTTACACTCTTACCCTATTTGTATTTTTTGTATTTTTAGATTGTATCTTATAGCTACTTTTGATTCAATATTTATTCAAAATTTTACATACTTTAGCCCCTTAGTGTTAGTTAGACTTTGTACCTTTAGTATAGTTAGACTTGTATACCACTTATTTTAGATTTAAGATTACTATATGTTGAATGTATGCACCTTCCTGCCAAAGTAAATTCCTTGTCTGTGCGAGCTTTCATTGCGAATAAAACCCTTTCTGATTCTGATTCTGAACATCCAGCAACAACGGGGGGCAGTGGAGCGACGCTCACAAGAACGGAGCGCTGGGCCACTGAAACGCAGAGTTGGCAGTGGAGAGCACAGTTGGTGCATCTGCCAGTCATCTGAGTCGGTCAACCTATGGCACCTGGATCTGTTCCGTGACCTCCTGCCAGCAGCGAGCCTTCAAAGTGCACCTTTGCCTGGCACAAGCCACGTGGTGAGGTCACCGCCATTTCGTGAACGGCGGTTGTTTATGCACGCCTGTAATGCAGCCCTCCGGAAGCATCAAGTGAGTGAGAGAAAGAGAGGAAGTGAGAAAGAGAGGGAGTGATAGAGTGATTGAGAGACAGTGAGAGAGAGGTGGGGAGAGTAAGGCGAGGGAGTGAGAATGTGAGAGTCAGGGGTAGGCGAGGAGGGCATGAAGGGGACGTTGCCCCGCGCTGCCGCTATGAGGCATGGGAGGATGGCGGCATGACAGGCCGTGCAGGTAACACGAGATTAACTCATTCACATCTTCCTCATCCGGCCATGGTCAATCATCCACTGCTGAATGAAGGCCTCCACCGCAGCCCCGCTCTACATGAGCTTATGTTGTCGCCCCATCTTCTCGGTGTGCGTCTTCTTGGGTGCCTTTTATTAATTTGGCTCCCGCTCCATCGTTCATCTCGAGCACGGCCATTTACCTCCAGCCGTCGTGGCAGGTCCTGCCCAGGACCAACGTATACTCTCAATAGTTTGAAGAATGCAGAGGTGGCCATCTGGCGTCTTTTGTAAAATGTGCGGCTCTTTAATCTCCCGCATGGGGCATTACGTAGAAGATACTACTGTCAATATATACACACTTATACATATATACACACTTGCTTATTTGCAGAACTCACGGGGAAATGTTTTGGCACCTGGTCTGTTACATGTTGGCCACCCCTGGCAAGTTTCTAAATTGCACGTGTTCTCCAATCCCCGCGATCCTCTTCTTCACAATGTGCAGTAAATTCCAAGCGTGCATCTCTCCACGTATCTTTGCACACCTTATCAGTCTTCCTCGTCAGGGATCATGTTACTGATCATGTTACTGATCCCTGTCTCAGAAGGCAGAGCGCAATCATACCAGGCTCCTCGAGGAATAAAGACGGTCAGCGTATCGTGCTTCTGCGGCCGTCTGAGACGCTCTTGCGATATTAGGAAGCCACCTGAGCTATGCACTTTTAAATCGTCCAGATTGAAAACTAATTTCTTTAAAACTTCTTTTTGTGTTTAGTTAGTTATCCTTCCCTCACACCTCCGATTAGCATGGGTTGGCTACGTATTGTGCGAAAGAAGTTCAACATACAGTACATAAACTGTCTGTGATGTTGTGGGTGGGAATACAACACATTGTTTGCTCGGATTCGCCTACAAAGGAGTGGGCAGTGTGGTGTTTGTGGCGTGAACATGACATCGTGTGGCCGGCCATTCTCACGGTGGAGGACCTTTGAACATTTAGTGTTGCCCTCAGAACCACTTGTGCTTCTGTTTCTGTCGTGACCCTATGACCTCTTACAGAACGAAGTTGAATAAGAACCCTGTATCACGTTAGTTCCCACATCCTTTGATTTTTCTGTCAGCCTGTGATCTCCTTTACAATAAATTGCTGGGTAGATAGGCAGCGTCAGGCCCAGTCACATTGAGCTACGATGTGGAAGTGGAGGAGCGAAGTTGAAGATACTAACTAGAAGTGGAAGGAGCTATGTGGAAGAATCATATACTTAATAATAGCAAAGTCTCAATGAAGCCGGGCAGAGCTCTTGAATTGCAAAGCCTTGAGAAGGTCCGACAGATGGATTCAATTTGAGTTCAGTGTGGGTTAAGTCTTAAGGATCTGGCCATCATTTTGTGGGTCTGGGTTCTACCATCGATGCGTTCCCAACAAGGCAACACACGCAAGAGTTTGGGATCCCAGGGTCACCCCTTGACCGAGGTGTAATTGTGATGCCGCAGCAGCAAAGCCATTCTGCCGACGCCGTGGCCGCGACGCCGCGGGGCCGATGCTGCTCTTCCCTCACCACCCCCCACATGAACACACACACACACATAGAGCCCCCGCATGAACACACACACCCACATAGAGCCCCCGCATGAACACACACACACAAACACCTCCACATAGGGCCCCGAGGGGAGGTCACCTGGCCGACAGGTTTTCACACAGAAGCCCTCTCATGGGACTTATCTTCACGGTTTCCTGTGACCAGGGAATTGGGCGATCTCCCCCGAGGCTAACTCGCACCGCGGCGCCGTGACTTGGGTTGTAATCACGTGGTCACGACGGGGCTGCTGAGCCACCGCGGGTAGAAAACACCCACAACACACACGGGTAGGCAGGTAGGGGGCGGAGCCACGAACGGCGGGAAAACAGGGCCGGCCCTCTGATTGGTAGGACAAATGTGCTTGTGCACCAACGCAGCAGCCCCGCGGTCGTCCCTTTTGATGTAGAAGGTAAAGTACGGACGTCTGAGAGTGCACCGGTCCGGGGAGAGTGGCGGGAAATCCAAGCCACCTGATTGGTCGGGAAGGCCAGCGGATCAGCGCCGAATTCTCATTGATAAGGGAGTCGTGGTCTTCGCAAGTCAGGGATCGGAGTAGTCACCTTGCCGGCCACTGGATCGTCCGTGAGACGAGTCTCAGCACAGCCAGGCACCGCTCCCGGCGGGAACTTCCTGCAGCCTCGCCTCTCCACGGCTTCCCACACATCCGAGCCGAACCGTGAGTACGCAAGAGAGAGTTGGGATTTACCGTAAGATCCTGGGGAGTTTAATTCCAAGTAGACGAGGTAGATCGGGTTTAGACCATCGGGAGATAGGTTAGACCTGCCCTGCTGACTCAGACTGATTCGGGTAATAGTAGCTCGTAGACACGGCGGGAATAAATCGTTCGTGATCGATAACAGCCTCGTGTGGTTTCTACGAGCGCGAGGAAAGTGCGTGGTGGTGTGTGCGCTCGCCGTAACGCGTGTGTTCGGCGCGCAGTGTCACGGTAGAAGAAACGCCGCGCCTGAAGGACTCGGCGAGTGAGCGCTTCGTCCTGTGACCCCAGACTCCCGCCCTGCTGCGTGCGGGCTAACACCAATCCCGAATATCTGCCCCCACAGCCCTTTAAATCATCTCCAATACAACCCCCCCCCAATCGGCTACGTGTGTACGAGTGACGTCCATGCCCTCTGACCCCCGACCCCCCGTCCCACGCGTGCGATTGGTGTGTCGCTCTAAAACTGACTCCGAATCCCCGCCCCGCAGCCCTTTAAACAATCTCCATTTCCCGTCCTCGGTAGCAACGCGTGTGCGAAGGACGTCATTGCCCTCTGACCCCTGACCCCCCGTTCAGCGCGTGAGAGTGGCGCGCGGGGTTGCGTGAGCGGAGACGTCGCGTTTGAGTGGCTGAGAAGCGACGGATTGATTCCAGGCAGCCGTACGCCAGCCCCGAGCTATGCCCCACAAACAGGACCCGCGGGCCAGAGGGGCTGCGGTGCGAGGAGGAGCCGGAGAGCGGCAGCCCTCTCCCCGCGAGCGTGGAGTTGAGTAGCGGCGGCTCTCACACGAGCGAGGAGTCCGGAGCCCGCAGCCCTCCCGAGATCAGCCCTCCCCCGGAGGTTGAGCCGGGGACCCGCGTCCCCCACATAATTCTGTCACCCGTGCCGGAATGTTTGAGGAGACGAATAACAAACAAACAAAACTAGTGTCACATGGGTAGACCTCCACAGCCACTGTCAGGATCCGTTTCAGGATAGAAAAACAAAGAGGATATTTGAAAAGTCAGTCGAATAATCTTAGGAGAGATTATATCTATACTCTTTGGTTCTTTCGGTAAAGTCACGTAGGTATAAAATAAAATAAATCACGACGTTTCGATTGCAACACAAGCGACCGTCATCAGGTGGAACAGATACAGCATGAGAACTGCTGACATAGGAGAAAGAGCTGCTGCAACAAGAGTTTATATCGGATTTTGGTGGGCTTAACCCAAGGGTAAGTGTGCGGAGCTAGAGAAGGAATTTGTACGTAAATGTAAATGTGAGAGATTAGCATGTCAATGTGGGACGGTCCCAGCCACCGGAGGTAATGGGAATCCTGTGCCTGGGCTGCCTCGACCAAGGGTAAGTGTGCGGAGCTAGAGAAGGAATTTGTACGTAAATGTAAAGAGATTATATCGTGCAGAAAAAGACTGAGAACATACCTGTCACCCCATACGATTTACCTGGATTCTTGCACAGAGAAATTGAGTCTTCAGGACCATACGGTGTACAGCCATTTCAATAAGGGCAAAAACGTGTTTTTGTCTATTTGTTGTAATTTCTCTCCCTTGTGATGGAACTTTGTAGGATGAACGTTGAGATTTATAAGGGCACGGGGTAACCAATAAGGTCTGAATTGGCCTGTAATAAGGTAGGCACTGATAAGGGGTTGACAGGTTTGCTGAATACACTTTTATTGTTCCACGTTTGTGGATTTACTATAATTAAATGGGTGACACCAAGGCTGCGTATGAATTGAGTATTTCATCATAGCTATAATGACAAGTGTGGTTGATATATATTTTAACAAACACGAGGTGGCGCCCATGAGTAATCTGCTGAGAAGTGACCCAAACGATACGTTTATATTTTCCCCATTCTCTACTAAAACGTAAAATTCCAACAATGTAAAATACAAAGTATACAAAGTAAACCCGTAACTGAATGTAGATTTTTTTTTATTCATGAAGTTAAGTTTCATGGACAGCAATTACAGTCGAAACGAAGACCAAACAGAACGATGCCCTGAGGAGGGCCATATTCATATATTGATGTGAAGCAAACTAAACTCATCGCCCTGGCACGTCTTAACCAAAAATCAGATGAAGAGGAACATTCACCGAGGTGTGAACGTGGCCCACTGATGTGCAGGAGTAAAACTATGCATTCTAGACAACAACAACAGCAGCAGTAAACTTGTACTACAATTCCCAAACATTTTCACACTTTATGCGGGTGATCACTTTGAACTGTAACTCAAAAGTAACTGCAATGGCCGTATTGCACAAATAGAAATGCCAACGCGTACAGTGTATCCACAAATTGTAGGGCTCATTCATTTTGTTAAAACCCCACTGATGGGATAAATTTGGCTGCCGTATGAAAGACCACATTTGGGTCATTTGCAGCTCGTAATGTTATTTATATGTAGCGTTTTATATTGTATGCGTCTAAAAAGTTATATTAAAAAAAAACCCCAGCCCTTAAAGAATTGAAAATCACAATCCAATTCTGGAACTCACAACCAACTGCTACAGGAGTTACTTCATAGTCGATTACTGAACTGGGGCTCTTTGGAACGTGATATGTTTCTGATCAGCGTGGAGATGCAGATAACAAATCAGCATTAATTGGCTCACTGTTCCCCCTTCAAATATTGGGGGTGCCATTTTAAAATGATTGGGATCCCCTGAAAAATCCAATTTTGTGGCACGCGGTATTTCAGCTCACGTTATTTCGAGGACACGCTAAAAATAACAGACCCCAATGCAAACCAGAAGACATCGGGTATTATTGCAGAAGTGTATCATTGGCATGAAAAAAATTAACAGCAGGGTGGATCCTCGCATGCAAAATCCTCTATTTAATCAGTTGAGATCCCGTTTGAAAGTTTTTATTTCAGTTAACTTGAAAATAGACAAAATATGTAGTTTAGCAAACGAAGCAGAGCACACAGTAACCAGATCTTACTTTACGTGCGTGTGCCCATGCTCATGAAGGCTGGCATGTAATTTGTAAATCACTTCGATGTGCAATGCTTAGCCGTTAAATGTCAGAGGACTTGACAGTCGAACCGAGAACTCTGTTGGCAGCTTCGACGGCGACGCTTTTGTCGATCCCTGAAACGACACGATTGGTCATCAGCAGCGCATGCGTGTCTCTCTTCAAGGGGGGTTGATGCCCAAATTACACTTTGGCACATGGTGGCAACGTCTCTGAAGTTCTGGGTTCACACTCGAGAACTGTAAAAAGCTGTTGTTGAGGTATGGAGGAAAAGAGATTAAGATTGAAACGAGAGGATTTCTCCACAACCCTGGCTGCAGCCTGATGAGGCTGGTTGTAATTACCGGCGAAACGTCGTAACTCGAATTGCAGATGTTGTGGGTTGACTCTCAAGCACACCGGTGTGCTGAACTAGTAACGAATTGACATGTTTTGTTTACGTGACAAACCTTACTAATTGGCTGTATCAGGTGGTGATGGTTTAGCAACGTATTTATATTCTTTATATTAACCCAAAACCCTCTATTATGGATAATATTGGTCGTGAATTGAGTTTGTCGTATTATTCAACTCAGCTAATGTGACATTTCACAATCACTGGGCACAGTTGCCACAATTTTCACAGTTGTCCTCAGCTTTCATAATTTTGGCCCAACAGAGGTCCTTGGACTTATTCAGTGTCCAACACATTTATTGGATGTCTACGCATTGTGCAGTGTGGAATTTGTGGAGGATGCTATGAATTTCACGATTTTTAATCACCGTGGAAACGTAGCGTCAGTGTAATGGGCCTTGGCAACGTGCGGCTCAGTGTCATGCGAGCGTCAGGAGTTTGTGTGCACTCACACCCGTGTAAGGAACACTGCTAAAGAGAACCCTATTAAGTAAATAATTAAGCAATCAATACTCACCGAGTCAAACGGATTATTTTGTTGCTATGAATGTCCACGTGATAAAGCCACTTCGTTGAGCTATAATGTGTGGCCAAGTCGCTTCTGAAAAAGAGCAATGTAGCTCAGTGGGCCTTACCTGGTCAAATAAAATTTAAAGAAATAGCCTACTGGAACTCCTTGACACATGCATTAACGAGACGAGCTTCCGATGCGTTACCTTGCTGGCTGAGCCACAGCGAGGCTTTCCTGGCGAGCAGATCCCACTTGAGTTTCTGCTCGGCAGCCTCAGACTGCAGCCAAACGAGCGCCAGCACCGTGGCCCACACCTCGCTCGCCATGCCCTGCCGGAGAACAGAGATTTTGCTGTAGGATGTAAACACCCCCCTCTGCCTCTTCCCCCATCCTCACAGGCTTCCTGGTCGCGTCAAAATAATTACCCACCGGCCGCCACTGGCAACACCACCTCATCCACAACACCGCCAAGCAGCTCTTCCACTGCCACTGTGATGAAGGACAACAACCCCTCCTACGCAGATTACATCAACCTTTTGCTCACTACTTTCGCACTGGGATCCACCGACTGCAACCTAAAAGACTACCTCAGCACTGAGCGCTATTAAAACGAGGCTGAATGTCTGCTTGTCCGACTGGGCAATGCCTTTCCCCACTGGGCAACGACTTGCCCCACTGTGACTACACATGAAGCAAAAATGCACGATAGCGGGTTCGGAAGAGGATTTCCGCAAGAGGACTAAGTGGGCAGCCGAGGGGGTGTGTCTAATCTTCGCAGGCAGTTTAAAATATAACATCCTGCACGCACTTTCCCGGTGTCGGTGGACTGGCACTACGTATACTCGCAAAAACTGGAGTCCGGCAGGTCGCGAATAGGGAATTAGTATACATTGAGTAACTTGCCAATATGCGAAACTCGTGAATTCAGAATCCCATTGCAAATCTCACCTTTGGCGCCTCGCTCTGAAGGTTTTCCAATGGCATTTGGACCACGGCCGCCAGCTGCTCCAAGCTCTTCCACGATCCGTCTGCCTGCTGCAAATAAACTAGTTGATCTAGTATGGTAGAACACACAGAGAGAAAAAGAGAGAACAAAAAAACGTCATTAGCTGACCCAGCAGACCGTGCCCATGGTAGTCTCGGTGGCCCTCTTGGAGGGGAGAGTTTTATTGTGAAGGCTGGCGAGGCCAGTGATGTCGCGCTACCACGTGCGGCAGACTTTAGGATGTCGGGGCGAGGCGGCTGGTCAAAGGATTCCTCCAGGATAAATAACGATTCTGATGGAAGAAGAAACCTCCAGCTGGAATGTTACGTCATCCATTACAGTGGCGTCACGTATTTACTCGACATAGTTCGCTTGCACAGGCTTATTTGGATGGTTGATAGGGAAATGAACGTGTAGTGTAAACAGTATAAACTCTCGTACAGTGGAGTGTAGAAATTTGAATGGTTGATCGGGAAATGAACGCGTAGTGTAAACAGTATAAACTCTCGTACAGTGGAGTGTAGAAATTTGGTTGGTTGATCGGGAAATGAACGCGTAGTGTAAACAGTATAAACTCTTGTACAGTGGAGTGTAGAAGTCAGCAGACAGTGTAAACAGGGCTAAATAGGGTGTTTTATGATCCTTTATAATTATTTTACTTACCTGATTAAGCGAATCATTCAACACAACTTATATATCATGGAACCTCGTTTTCCAGTACCAAAATATGCTAATAGGGGTTTCCCATTTTTTCTGGTAACAAAACAGGTGTTAAGATATTAAAACACCGAACTGAAACCTTTTACACCGTTTTAGACGAGGCTCAAAAGAAAGCTGTCTCTGGTGTGGACCAATCAGTTTCAAAGACAATGCATATATACTATCAGAGTATTTTTTTGTTTGCATTCTGATCACAAGAATTGTGGTCAATGCAGACATGATTCCTTGCAAAAGGTTTCAGTTTGGTGTTTTAACATCTGAACACAGCTGTTTTTTTGCCAGAAAAAAGGGAAAAACCCATTATCACAAGGTTATATAATTGGTTTAAGATATTTGAAACAAATATTTAATTTCTACATTTACATTAATACTACTTGCAAGTTGATTTGTTCGTGCTTTTTGCGATGCATTCAAATATATATATTTGAAATATATATTTGACTGCATGGCTTAGTCACTATCAGTGAATTCTCTAACAAAGTGTTTTTGTGTTTTTATCAAATGACACACGTCATGTGTGCAGGAACAAGAAGGTCAGCCCCGAATTTGCCTTACTCACCCATCTGAGTGCAGGCAGGCCTTGTTATACTGCACCAACTGGGAGAGGTCGGTGACATTTCCTGGGATCCTGTTCTGTATCTTTCTACAGGAAAGAATTAACAAGTTATACAATCAACATCTCACCGTGTATTATTATGAATTGCCATTACTGCCTTCCACTAAAGAAACCCACGTGCTGGTCTTACGATCTGGCATCAATTCAAGTCGTGGCATCAACCTGATCCATTTTGTCAGTGTGTAATAGCTGTTCAAATGTCTCTCCAAATGCCCGTATGTGTTCAATTCAATGAGAAAAGCATTTTTCTTCAGCCGATTTAAAATGTAACTTGGCTTTTCTGTGTTTTGTTTTTTCCATCGTCTTGACGCCCTGCGGCCGACAGGCACCCGTGGCCTCTCCTGACCATGTCCTCTGGAGTCGGCATGTCACAAAATACCCCTTTGTTTCACTGGCACATCCGAGTCAGAGCATATTCGATTCCAAACCGATCTGATCTGATCCATGATTATGCCAATCTGATCACTCAATCCCGGGTGAATATGACTCGATCATGGCTGATGACGATGGTAGCTGTTGAGTCTAAAAAAAAATTAATTTGAACGTGAAAACAAGTTTGGATGCCACTTACTTTCAAGGGACAGACTGGATATTCTTGGCATGCAGGATTTACGACGTTTCAAGCAGAGCTCTGAACCAGGTGCTGCCGGGATACAAATGGCAGAAATTCACGAGCCAACATTAAATACAGAGCATCAATGATTTGCTCAATAGCTCTGCTGTGCACCAATTTCAGTGAAGCATTACAAAGCCTAGCTCTCAGATGTGTTTTTGGGTTGAAGCGAATTTTTATGACGATAGACGTGGTGGTGGTGGTGGCGGCGGTGGTGAAGAATTCAGGAGGACGACTCCTCGGAAGAATGCGGGTGTTTGAGAACAACGCCGCACAGCTGTTATCATTTGAGCACTCTGGGAGCACGAGCGGCAACACTTTCCCCGACTGAATTCGCGTTCTCAATTAATGGACCTTACAGTCGACTCGTTTATACCAACATGTATAAAAGTACGTATAAAATAAAAATGCACAATAGCGAGTGCAGAGAGTGGGACTACGGCGAGGCTGAGGACAAAGCGGGCAGCCGAGGGGGCGTGCCGAATCTTCGCAGGCAGTTTCAATTATAAACTTCTGCGCATACTTCCCTGGCGTCGGTGGTCTGCAGGCACTATGTACACCCGCGAATGCGGGAGTCCGGCGGGTCGTGAATAGGGAATTAGTATACATTTAGTAACTCGCGAATGATGCGAAGCTGGCGAATCCAGAACTCACGCATAGCGAGGGTTTACTATGCAAATGCGAACACCAAAACTTACGGAGTGGATGAAATAGAGAGGAGATGCAAAACCGAGAAGAATCTGAATATATAAGGTGTCCGTTGTATGTGTGCATGTGCCACTTTTAACAAACCTTATACAAATCCACATTTTTCAAGCTGTGTGTACAAATTTGGTATCGATTGAAACCCCATCTCGTCTGTAGGTGTGTAACCAAAATACGTAATTTTTTTCCCCACGACATTTCTTTGCCGAATTATGGCTGCAAAACTAAAAATGAAATTCCATAAGCTACAAAATTGAAAACCCCATAAAGCGAACCTACTTCTGTGCACTACAAAATTAAATGTTGAACGCTGGCCGTGAGGACCAACTGGGAGCCTAGCAACAGGCATCATCACGAGCATTGCAGGAAGTCATAGGAGGTCATCAGTACGCCTGGCCAATCAACTAAGTAAAAATGTAAGAATTCAGTGATTGAATTAGCACACAATAATCGAAGCAGGTGAGCTGCAGAACGTCAGACATCATGCGGAACATGCGGTTGAACCCAAAAAACATCACAGAGCTTGGCTTAAACTTGATTTGGAGCTTTCGTGACTGCAGGAATTACTCTTTGGTTCCTTCGGTAAAGTCACGTAGCAAGAGAAAAGAGCTAGGCTTGGCATGGTTCAAAGAAAATCACTTCGATCGGATCAGTTCACGTGAGCTGGATGGTGGTCTCACAGGCCGGTGACGTCTCGCTGGAGGTTTCTGAAGTTGAAGCCAGTGAGGAGGACCTCGAGTCATAGCCTGTGTCTGGGCTGGTAACTCTGGCCTTGAACACTTCAACACAAAGTGCAGAGTGAATTTTTTCTTTTCTACAGTCTCAAAGAAACATACATGAATTAATTAGGACTCACTGTCTATCATCAACCATGTAATTTGTTCATAACAGATGAGAATCAAATGAGATGAACGACATGGATGTGATGGTGTCATACGCAGCAATCTTTTATTAAAACCCTGCAGTCACTCATATACTATTTTTTAATGTGAAAATGAGGGAAACCATGGAGGTCATTGAAAATAAATGGATCAATCTATTAAAATATGGAATTGTGCATGCAATATTTTGTTGGCTGATGCAATACACATGTGAATGTACATGCAAATTAATGTGTTTTGTAGACACAAATGTGGATGCAAATAATACACCAAAGCTCAAAGGACTAAATGGAAGAGAACAATTGAGATGCAAAACCAAGAAAATTTTAAAATGTCGAATCTATGTGGGTATGTGCCACATTGAACAAACCTTATACATAATCCACATTTTTAAGCTATGTGTATAAATTTGGTATCAATTTAAAGCCCATTGTTTGGAGGGTTTCTCTATGACCTTTTCCTGCCGAGTTATGGGCGCAAAACTAAAAATTAAATTACATGAACTACGAAATTCAAAACCCAGTAACACTAACATGCTTATGTGCACTACAAAATCTAATGTGAAATGCTTACTGCGAGGATCAAGTAGCAGCCTAGCAACAGGCATCAATCACTAGCAATGCAGGAAATCATAGGCGGGCATCAGTAGGCCTGGCCAATCAATTAAAACGAATGAGTGATTGAATGAGGTTAGAATGTGAATGAATGATAGTATTTGAGTGATTTAATTAAGTAAAAATGTAAGGATTCAGTGATTGAATTAGCACACTGTATACTCGAAGGAGGCGAGCTGTGGAACCTTGGACATCATGCGGAACATCACAGAGCTAGGCTTGTCATGCTTCGCTGAAATCGGTACACAGCTGAGTTATTGAACATATAACATCAATTATTTGCTCAATAGCTCAGCTGTGTCTGACTTTCCGTGGCTCACCTCCTTCGATTGTACGGTGTGCTGCCTATATAAACCAAAGTCATGAAGATGCACGTGCACACATGTCACGTGTATGAATGTTTGTGTTGCGCGTGTGTTGAAATGGTGTTGGGGTACATGAATTTAGTGGCAAACAGTTCTCACAATTGAGGTTGAGAGCCAGTGCAGGATAGCAGGGGGCCCAGAACATTCAGAAATGTAAACAAATGAGATTAAAATAGCAGCTCAACAGCTCAACTCTGGAAATATATCAATAGTGTGCAGCATTACTGCAGTCATGTTTACAGAATGTGGCTTAACACAATTGGAGAAATCGCTCAAATAATTAAGGTTGCATGGGTTAGGAAGTAGTTTCTACTGGATGGGAAAATGTAATTTCCATCCCATCAGGCAAGAAGGGAGCGAGAAGGGAGTGTGGTAACTCGAGAGGGATGAATTTACTGAGCATCCAGAAAGTTTCACTGAAAATCACAAAAGCCCAGACAGAAGGGCCGATCAGAGAACACATTCCTGCGGAGGGAGCTGGTAGGAACGTTGGGTTGCTCGGTCAATGGCCAGGGTCAACGGCGGTGTGGTGTATTTCGCAAATATGCCCGACTGTGAGGGCGGGCACAAGCCGGCGTGAGTAGGTTAAACGTTGAGTTTTATAAGGGCACCACGGGATGACCCTCCCCTCCCCACCCAGCCCCTTCCCACCTTCCCCTCCCCAGCCAGCCCCTCCCCACCCTCCCCCCTCCACCCAGCTCCACCCCTCCCATTTTTTGATGCACGACAGACGGACACAATAATCCCCTGTGGGCTGGTGGTGTAACCAGGAGGTTCCTATCAGTAAAATTGGTCTGAATTTAGAGGAGGCAGGAGAAGGGGAGATCAACGTTTTACTCTCAAACCTATAATATGGAAGACATGGGAAATTTGAGTGAGCGGATAATTTTGTTAAATCAAAGACAACCACTTTGATCAGATTATTTCACGTGAGCCAAATGATGGCCTTACAGGCCCATCGTGACGTCTTGCTGGAGGTTTTTGAAGTTGAAGACCGTGAGGAGGACGCTGAGTCATAGCCTGCGTCTGGGCTGGTAACTCTGGCTTTATACCCTGCAACACAAAGTGCATAGTGAGATGGTTTCTTTGCTGCAGTCTCAAATAAACAAAAATGAATTTATGAGGACGAACTTTTACCATTTTTGTCTGTAATGAATGAGAATCAAATGAGATGAACGTGGATCTCATGGTGTGATAAACAGCAATCTGTTATTAAAACCCTGCAGTCACTAATTTATTTTAAAATACATGTGAAAGTGAGGGAAACCACGGAGGTCATAGGAAAATGTAATGATTAATGGATTCATTTGTTAAATTCTATTTGTACACTCAAGACATATTGCACGACATTTTCCGTGCAATAATCAAATATTTTGGACTTATGCAGATTACAAGCCACTGTTAATGCACTCGTACATGCATATATAGTATACACGTGTCTATGCTATTGCTACACCAAAGTTAAAGAAGTTAATGAAACAGCACAAAGAAGATGGGAAACGAAGAAAAATCTAAACATGTAAAATGTTTAGATTTTGGACTGAACCCTGATGTACCTGCACTGGTTAGGCACTGCCTCACCAACACTTACTTTACCTGAAATGGTACTTTCTACAAACAAAATGAGGGTACCCCTATGGGCTCCCCCTTGTCACCAGTGATAGCCAATGTTTTCATGGAGAAATTTGAATCGGACGCCATCCAGACATCCACCCTTCGCCCTTCCCTATGGAAGAGATATGTGGATGACACTTTCGTCATTTGGCCACATGGCCTCCCAGCACTGAACCATTTCCTAGACCACATTAATTCCAGACACTCATCCATCAAATTCACCATAGAAGTGGAGAAAGATGGCAAGCTGCCATTCTTGGATGTTCTGTTTGAGAGGACTGATGGCTCTTTGGGACATTCTGTTTACAGGAAGTCCACCCACACAGACTCCTACTTGAAGCCTGATTGATTCCCACCACCACCCAACTCAAAAGAACTCTCTCATCAAAACATTATACCATAGGGCTCATTGCATTTCTGACCAACACCACCTGGCCAGTGAATTAAAACATGTACATCTGGCCCTCAAGATGAACGGATACTCTGACCGTACCATCCGCCAAGCTGTTTCTCCCACCATACAGAAACAACCACCTGATACTCCGATCAAAATCATCACGTTACCATACATAGCAGGCGTTACTAAAAAGATTTCCAAAATTCTAAACAAACACAAGATCCAGGTCCGGTTCAATACAGTACACAAATCCGTGATCTGATCCCATCCGTAAAGGATGTCATTCCTGACTTACAGTACCCCGGTGTTTACAAATTGAGCTGTACCTGCGGTGACTGCTATATCGGGGAGACGAAACGACATATTTCTGACCGAATCCGCGAGCACAAATCAGATTTGAAACACAGCAGAACGAATTCTTCAGCCGTGGCTGATCATTGTTTCAACACAGCGGGTTCTCATGACATTGTTTTCTCTGATACCAAAGTTCTCTGCAAACCTCCCGGCTATTACCAAAGATTTGTCCATGAAGCCATCCAGATATACAAACATAGACACAAATTCAACCGAGAGGATGGTTTCAAATTGAGCAACCATTGGAAAGATGTTATAAATCAAGTCAAACGTTAGCTGCCTTATAATTGTACAGCCATTTCCATCTCTCAGTGGGTTGTATGCCAAACTTTAGCTGCCTTATAATTGTACAGCCATTTCCATTGCTTTCTAACAAAAAATGGGGCTGTACTCGCTTTTCGCGCAGTGCACCAGCCCTCCCCCCCAACCCCCTGCAGTTTAACAATAGGCGGCTTAACTCAGCCCTCCCCCCACCCACGTCCCTTCCTGGCTCCTCCCCCCCCCCTTAACCTGTATATAATCCCGGCTGTCTCAGAGCTGTCCACTTGACACAGATATTCTGCTGTGACTGTTCCACCTGAAGACGGAAGCTTGTGTTGCCTCCGAAACGTCATGATTTCATTTAGTTGTTTTATTTTATTTTACCTACGTGACTTTACCGAAAAAACCAAAGAGTATGTAAAATGTGTCCATTGTATGTTGGTATGTACCACTTTGAACAAACCTCATACAAATACAACATTTTAAAGCTACTTGTACTAATTTGGAATAAATTTAAAGGCCATCGCCTGTGCGTGTGTAAGCGGAACAAGTTTTTTCTCCATAGCCTTTCTTTGCCGAGTTACGGCCACGAAACAAAACACGCAATTACATGAACTACGAAATTCAAAACTCTGGAACGCTAACATGCTTATTTGCACTACAAAATCTAATGTTAAATGTTGGCCACGAGGACCAACCGGCAGCCTAGCAACGGGCATCCCTAGCAACGGCTAGGCCTGCAGAAGCAGAGCCATCAGTAAGCATAGGGAATTAATAAAAAAAATGATTGAGATGAGTGATTGAATGAGTTAAGAATGAAAAGATTGAGTGATGGAATGAGCCCACTGTGTAATCGGAGGTGAGCTGCGGAACGTCGGACATCATACTGAACAACACGTGGTTGAACCCAGAAACACATCAGAGAGCTAGGCTTGTCACGCTTCCGTTTAGCACGGTTGGATATGTACGGTGTGAAAGAAGTCCAACAGACAGTGTGCTGCTTATATAAAGCAAGGCCAGGAAGATGCACGTGCACACATTTCACTAGTAGGAATGTTTGTGTTGCTCGTGTGTTGAAATGGTGTTAGGGTACATTAATTTAGTGGCAAACAGTTCTCACAATTGAGGCTGAGAGCCAGTGAAGGATAGCAGGGGTCACAGAAAATTCAGATATGTAAAAAAAATTAGATAAAAAATGTAGCTCAACAGCTTACATCTGGTAACATATCAATAGAGTGTTGCAGTTACTGCAGTTATGTAGCTTAAAAAAATGGGGAGAAACCGGTCAGATATCGGAGGTTGCATGGGTTAGGAAGTAGTTTCTGCAGGATTCGAAAATCTAATTTCCATCCCATCACGTAAGAAGGGGACACAAGCGAGTGTGGTAAATCGAGAGGGATGCATTTACTGAGCATCCAGGGAATTTATTTTCAAGAATTTTGCTGAAAATCTCAAAGACGCAAACAGAAGGGCCGTTCAGGGAAAACTGGTCTGGATTTAGAGGCAGGAGTAGCCGAGATCGACGTTTTACTATCAAACCTATAACATAGAAGACGTGGAAATATCATCATACTTTGATTTGTTTCACATACTTTATGTGAGCGGAACATTCTGATAGATCAAAGACAACCACTTTGATAAGATCAGTTCACAGGAGCTTGATGATGGTCTCACAGGCCTGTCGTGACGTCATGCTGGAGGGTTCTGAAGTTGAAGATGAAGTCTGTGAGCAGGACGCTGAGTCACAGTCTGCATCTGGGCTGGTAACTCTGGCATTGTACCCTGCAACACAAAATTCATAGTGAGATTGTTTCTTTGCTGCAGTATCAGAGAAACATGAATTTTATTAGGACTCACTATCACCATTTTTGTTCATAATAAATGAGAATCAAATGAGATGAACGTGGATCTCATGGTGTGATAAACAGTAATATTTTATTCAAACCCTGCAGTCACATTTATATTTTAAAAAATATATGTGAAAATGAGGGAAACCACGTATGTCATATGAATTGTAAGGGTTAATGGATTACTTTGTTGAAATATATTTGTACGCTGAAGACACATTGCATCAAATTGTGCATGCAACAAGAGTTGAGAGAAAGGGAACTGAGCTGATCAAGAAAGGCTGGAATATATATTGGAATAATTTTGCACGAAATTGCAACCTCAAATTGTGACAATGCATTCAATTACAGTAGAATGTTTGGATTAATTGTTACAAGTGTAGTCAATAATTTACACGAACAGATTGACATAGTCTTCTTTGTTTTTTTCGGTAAAGTCACGTAGAATTCTACGTGACTTTACCGAAAGAACCAAAGAAGATGAATCCTTGCAGTCACAAAAGCTTTAAATCGAAAGATTGACATGGATCGGACAAATGTGGGCATCACAATATATATTGCCATGATGGATAAAAAGATAGAAGCACACTGTCAGCTATGGCTGACAAACTGAAGGCTCGGATTTACATTCAAACCCAACACTTACACAGACTCTTGTCCAAAAAGTCCATCCAAGGCCCATGTCTATGATGAGAGAAGTCAACCGGCATGAAATCCCTGGTAGCGTGGTAGACCATGGCGCCTTGACAATACAAAAAATACAGGGGGGGAATTAAACATCTGTGCTACGTAAGGATAAGGCTTTTCACGTATAGGACCCTTGTCAAAATGCATCGGCAACTGGGACAGCATTATGTCACGACTCATCTCAACCGTTTCTGTGCTCAGCTGCAGTTGAGCAAACGGATTTCCGTTAACAGGGCATGCAGCACTGGCCTCCAACTGGACCATTAATCCGCCAGTAGGGGATGAAGTATCAACGTGTTTTCCTAAGTAATTAGCTATTTATTAAATTTGGCAAAATATGGGCCATGAAGCCTACACAGACGGCCTACTTGTTTTGTTTCAAATAATGTCACCGTATCTTTAGCGACCACTGTGAAGCAGACGGTTAGTCATTATTACGATGAAAACGCCTGCAGCATTAACCATAGCGGAAACTCGCACGTCATGACACACGGTACAACCTGAAAACACATCGGAGGGCTGTAAAGTTCAACTGCGAGCACGTATGTAAGAGTATCATGAAACATCTGCATTATTTTGACAGCATGCCACTCGGTTACATGTCATCGTTTAGTTTTTGGTAGCTATTAAAGACTTAATGATAGCTGCTTCTCTCTCAGTATGTGTGGATGCCATTGGTCTACTAGAAGCTTCCCTGTCTTTACGTTGCTCATTTGCCGGTTGAGTTGGATTGAGTCTTTAGTTTGTTGTCCTTCCACCCCCGCGCACCTCCGATTAGCAAGATCGACTACCTACGGTGCGAAAGAAGTTCAACATACATAGTATACATGCACACCAGAGTGCTGGACGATCATTCTACGATCCACGCCACGCTCCGCACCCGGTACACACCCTCAAGTTTACCCCAACTTACTCCTAGGATAGGGCAGTGGCACGGGACGGGCCTGCATGGGGTCGGCGATGGGTGGTCGGGGTGAATTGTCCACAGCCACAAAGGCGGTGTAGGGCGACACGATTCCGGCCTCAATGCTCAGCGCCACGGCGCTCTGCCTCGCGTCGTCGCTGGGACCGCCGGCTGCCCTCGGGTGGCGGGTGAGCGCCTTGGCCATCAGCCGGTGCAGCACGAGCCTGTGTGGATGAGCACGGGCACCACCACCACCACCGCCACAACCACCATCGTCGTTGTCATTAGCATCGCTGGCAGTAAATAATCAATCGGCATTATGCTGCAGAAACTGAAGCAGCCAGCGATGCTGTGTGTGATTGCAAAAACAGCATCGTCACCATCATCATCGTAATCAAAAGAGTGCGCATCGACAGTTTGATCTACACAACATCACTAGCAGTAGCATCACTGACGATATCACCGCCTGCAGCGGAAATATGAGCAAGGTGACACAGCAAGATGACATTAAATGTAATGTCATCTCCTTGGCCTGTAGGCTAATTGTTTGAGTGCTGATTTTATTACCAAGTTTTGGCCAACCCTTTGATCAATTTGGCCAGCTTCTATAGGTGTAGGTCCCTATTACCAACACAATGTTGTACTCATCTTTAATACATATTGGATCATCATTATGATAACAGTGATAATCCATAAACAACCTAATTTGGATGAACATTAATATGGAAAGTGGCAATGACCGAGTTTGTCAAAAGAGATAAGTCACTGAGCGAAAAGTGAGCATCGTCGTGTGTGTACGTGTGTGTGTACGTGTGTGTGTGTACGTGTGTGTGTGTACGTGTGTGTGTACGTGTGTGTGCGTGTGTAGGTGTGTGTGCGTGTGTGTGTGCGTGCGTGTGTGCGTGTGTACGTGTGTGTGTGTGTGTACGTGTGCGTGCGTGTGTGTACGTGCGTGTGTACGTGTGTGTGTGTGCGTGTGTACGTGTGTGTGTGTGTGTACGTGTGTGTACGTGTGTGTGCGTGCGTGTGTACCTGTGTGTACGTGCGTGTGTACGTGTGTGTGCGTGCGTGTGTACGTGTGTGTGCGTGTGTACGTGTGTGTGTACGTGTGTGTACGTGCGTGTGTGCGTGCGTGTGTACGTGTGTGTGCGTGCGTGTGTACGTGTGTGTGCGTGCGTGTGTACGTGTGTGTGTGTGCGTGTGTGTGTACGTGTGTGTGCGTGCGTGTGTATGTGTGTGTGCGTGCGTATATACGTGTGTGTGCGTGTGTACGTGTGTGTGTACGTGTGTGTACGTGTGTGTGCGTGCGTGTGTACGTGTGTGTGCGTGCGTGTGTACGTGTGTGTGCGTGCGTGTGTACGTGTGTGTGCGTGCGTGTGTACGTGAGTGTGTACGTGTGTGTGCCTGTGTACGTGTGTGTGCGTGTGTACGTGTGTGTGCGTGCGTGTGTACGTGTGCGTGCGTGTGTACGTGTGTGTGCGTGCGTGTGTACGTGTGTGTGCGTGCGTGTGTACGTGTATGTGTACGTGTGTGTCGTACTGATCCTTGCGGTCATCAGGCTCGCAGGTGAACACGATGCGGTTCTCAGCCGGCTTCCCGCACAGCGAGTACTTGAGGAGAGCTTCTCCCTGCCACGGAGCTGCTGGGGGCTGCGCAACCCCCCCAAACGCGTCGACAGGTGATGTGATCACATGACTGAAGAACAAAACATTCGCACTCACCAACACTACCTGAAAAGAAAAAATGTATAACTGGCCACACACCAAGAGTCCATAGAGAGAGAGACTGCGTGAATAATAATGCCATGATATTTCACAGGGGCTGTGGTCCCCACTGTCGAAGCAATGAGCTACTGGTTTGGACGTGATGTCGGCACGGCGAGCTGACAAGTGATGTTGGGCAAACCTATCACCGAGGCATTGGAGAGTCAGCGTTTGCAGCGATGCAATAAACCAGATTGGTGGAGATGCTCGTCAACCTATGGTGTGTTACACGCAATGCTCTGGTTTCTTTTTATCTGCTTCTTTAAAAGTGAAAATGCACGTGTTGCATCTTATCCGACTGCATGAGGTGCCTGGTAGCTATTGTTATTGCTGGTATTTCACATTGAGCTGTGCACTAGCAGGTTGCCACTGTGACAAGATGTTAGCTACCTCGCCTGGTATGTAGGAGCTCGTGGGTTCGATCCCGACCCTGACGCCTGCTGTATATTGGGAGTTTGCGTGTCCTCCCTGGGGTCGTGTGGATTTTTCTCCGGGTCCTCCGTTTTTTCTCTCCACTTTTAGAAACGTGTCTTTAGAGTATTTGCCTGCTATACATTTCCACTTGATGATAAGCCACTTTCGTTGAGCTATAATTTGTGTTAACCAGGTCGCTTCTGAAAAATAGCTGCATTGCTCAGTTGGCCTTACCTGGTAAAACTAAAAGTTTCAAAAGTTCGAAGGATCCCGCGAGGTAGCTGCTTAAAAATGTCGCCTGTACCCGTGTCGCCCCTTCCAACATGAAACAACTTGAGGATTATCAATGTGACAGCCAGGATTGAAGAGTGCGATGTCAGCACAACCTGCACCCAGTTGCTTGACTGGTTCCATGGTTGCTTCAGTGTACACCAAGGAGGCAGGTTGGTAGGCGCTGTCTCTTACATCGTCAGGGTGTTTGCACGTATTAAATAAACAGCTTCATTTAATTGGCTTTGCCCTTGGAATCTCCATTGTTGCTGCACAAGCGATGGTGGCAGAGAAACTGTGAAAGTGGTAATGTCATCTTGGTGTGGACAGGATGCAATAAAGTGTCGAGCAGGTAGGAGTGTGAGCGTTGGTTTGTATGGCACAGATGTGGCTCGTTTGTCATCTTGGATCGGACAGTCTGACGTTCAGAAAGGAGAGGCTGTCTTCTGTTATTAACGAAGTTCATTTAAAATTCTGGATGAAAATTGTGAATGAATGAAGGCGTTAAGTTCCACTTTGAAGTGAGAAGTAATGCCAATGCAGTCATCGATGTATGTGGCAAAGAAGTCGGGTCTGGTGCGTGTGAAGATTTGACGTATCAAATGTCCGACACATAGGTTGACAAAGCTAGGGCATATGCGTGTGCCCATGGCCACCACATTGAGTGCTTCAAATATCTTAGGCTTACCGATTGATTCAAAACTTACATTTCAACCCCCTATTGATCACATCTAAGGAAAAATGAAATAAAAAGTTTGGCTTTTATACAGAAACAAACATTGCTTTCCCATTCGATTGTGCCTGCAAATTGTTAATTATCATTCTACCACTTTTTGACTACTGTGACGCTGCTTACAGATCAACTACTAACGAAACACGAAACGGACTAAACCCGCTTTATCATTCTGCTTTTTCCATTTCCACTGGATGCACCTCTAATTACCAAGGCTGGCTACGTATGGTGCCAAAGAAGGTCAACATACATACCTACATACAGGATCCAACATTGTGACCTCTACGAAATATCCAATCTCACACCGCTTGATGCAAGAAGGAATCTGACATTGGGCCCGGTTCAAACATAAAATCCTTCTTGGAAAATCTGCGCGATAATTTATTAACCCCATTGTTAAACCCAATTAACCTAAGATATCCATGTAATTCCCTTTTAACTATCCATAGAGCAAGAATTGGAATAGGCGACAAAGCCTTTGCCATTGCAGCAACAACGTTTTGGAACAACCTCGTTTCCGCCCTTAACATCGTAAGTCGTCCTTAAAAGAAATATCCTGATGCAGAAGATTAGTACTGGATACGATCATAATTTGCCAACGTGATGCGTAACTTTGATATTTTCCCGTGTATCGACAGTTCAATCCTAATGTGCAACTTTATTGAGGGACGACTGTGTGTTGTCTTGCTGTGGTCTGGGACTGTTTGTTGTTGTTGTTGTTTTTATTGTTTTGCTACCTTGCCCAAGCTTGCATTTAGTGTTGAAAATCGGCAGGAATTGATGTACTTATGCAATTTGTAATATATACTTTATATAAATTTATTTATTACTTATCCACTTGCTTGCCGTTGCTCTACTTTTAACTCCTATCTCTTTTTTTAAATTGTTTGTTGGTGGAACTTGCTGACCCACGCCTACTGAACATCTGTGAACAAGAGCTTCATAGCTCATCGGACTCCTCCTCCAGGATAATTACAGATTCTGGTAGGGATTAGCCAGCCAAAAGCAGACGGACACACAATTCTGGCCGTCACCTGATCAGGCTGTAATTACCGGCGAAACGTTACGATACTTGAATTGTAAATCTTGCAGCGGGTTTACTCTCAAAAACACAACCAGTGTGCTGAACTAGTAACTAATCGGCAAGTTTTGTTTACGTGACAAACCTTGCTAATTGTCTGCATCAGATGGTGGCGGGTTAAACGACACAATTATACTTACGCTATCTAACTAAAAAAAAAACCTCTATTATGTATAACATTGGTTCGCGAAAGGCCAACTACATGTTAAACCCAAATTCGCACACACTCAATGTGTGTTGTGAGGTTCACGCGAGTCTCACCGTCCCTGTGAACTGCGCGTAGACAATCATCTTCTGTCCCATGAAAATGCTTCTGGGAAGCGTGGGCACCACGGTGACAGTGACGCCAGGCGGGAGAGACCATTCCAGCTGGGGGTTGCCCAGCAATGGCTGCATTGCGCACTTGAGCATCCTCAACACCTGCAGACACGAGAAAGAAAACATATGTAACCCTGACATCTTTCCGTTAATTGCACGTTAAATTAAATTGCTGCTAAGTGTAGGTTACAGCATCGGTTACAGAGTATGACTGTACTAGGTAATGTCCTACAACACACATCCTTGTGGGTGACAGACCAGGCACAAGGCACCATAGATCATCCCCAAGTATATTGTGTTTCATGCGTAACTCTGTGTATTGTCTACAGACTGTGCTCCTCAGCTGTAAAAATGTTTTCTGATACAAAGGCTTGAACCCGAGAATTAAAATTTGCAGTTCAGGACGCTGATGCAGCCATGAGCTTCTGGGATGTTTTGTTGTTGTTGTTGTCCCATTTACAATATGGGATGATTGCTGTGCCTCACCTTTGCCTGAAGCTGGTCGGAGCTTGTGACAAACTCTGACAGGCCGTTTCCAACGCGTGCTACCTCCTTAATGAGCTGTGTGGATACACCTTGTCCAATCCCAAACGCAAAGCACCTGTGCACAAGCGGCATCCTCATCATCTGCAGCCGACATCTACGCAATACAAATTACCAATAGCTGCATGACCATAGGGTACATGACCTACACGACTGTCGCTTATCTGCCCCGACCAATTAACCAGCCACACCCAATGCACTATTTGTGCACAGTGGTGGCACTGTCATTTCTAATCGATGTTCACAAATCCGACAGAGTCAGATGCAGTAATGTTGTCTCAATCTCAGTACACACACTTGCTTCTAAAGTACAGTGAAACATTTTGGCAAGTTTAAAGCAGTCTGTGCACGTATTATTATTTTTGTCCGGTAATCTATTTGCGCAAAATAAAATGGGTGTTCAAGACTGGAACGTTTTTGGGGCTGAAACGTATCGCAGGTTTAAAACACGAGGAATCAATGGGAAATGCGGTGATTGTTTAAACGAGTGTTCGCTTAATGAGTAATTTTCGCGGAACGTATCTTGCTCGTTACGAGACAACACGGCTCTATTTGATCACTGCGCTGATGAAGGTGGTGCGGGGAGGATGGCGCCAACGGTGATTTGCCCTCTATTGCCCATTAGTGCCAGCAAGAAGTGCGCACTACTTGAACATTTGACACAAGACAGAGGAAAGTGAAAACAAATGACGACATGTGCAGTGGACACCTACGGAGCTACAGTGAGGGAAAAAAGTATTTGATCCCCTGCTGATTTTGTACGTTTGCCCACTGACAAAGAAATGATCAGTCTATAATTTTAATGGTAGGTTTATTTGAACAGTGAGAGACAGAATAACAACAAAAATCCAGAAAAACGCATGTCAAAAATTTTATAAATTGATTTGCATTTTAATGAGGGAAATAAGTATTTGACCCCTCTGCAAAACATGACTTAGTACTTGGTGGCAAAACCCTTGTTGGCAATCACAGAGGTCAGACGTTTCTTGTAGTTGGCCACCAGGTTTGCACACATTTCAGGAGGGATTTTGTCCCACTCCTCTTGGCAGATCTTCTCCAAGTCATTAAGGTTTCGAGGCTGACGTTTGGCAACTCGACCCTTCAGCTCCCTCCACAGATTTTCTATGGGATTAAGGTCTGGAGACTGGCTAGGCCACTCCAGGACCTTAATGTGCTTCTTCTTGAGCCACTCCTTTGTTGCCTTGGCCGTGTGTTTTGGGTCATTGTCATGCTGGAATACCCATCCACGACCCATTTTCAATGCCCTGGCTGAGGGAAGGAGGTTCTCACCCAAGATTTGACGGAACATGGCCCCGTCCATCGTCCCTTTGATGCGGTGAAGTTGTCCTGTCCCCTTAGCAGAAAAACACCCCCAAAGCATAATGTTTCCACCTCCATGTTTGACGGTGGGGATGGTGTTCTTGGGGTCATAGGCAGCATTCCTCCTCCTCCAAACACGGCGAGTTGAGTTGATGCCAAACAGCTCCATTTTGGTCTCATCTGACCACAACACTTTCACCCAGTTGTCCTCTGAATCATTCAGATGTTCATTGGCAAACTTCAGACGGGCATGTATATATGTGCTTTTTTGAGCAGGGGGACCTTGCGGGTGCTGCAGGATTTCAGTCCTTCACGGCATAGTGTGTTACCAATTGTTTTCTTGGTGACTATGGTCTCAGCTGCCTTGAGATCATTGACAAGATCCTCCCGTGTAGTTCTGGGCTGATTCCTCACCGTTCTCATGATCATTGCAACTCCACGAGGTGAGATCTTGCATGGAGCCCCAGGCCGAGGGAGATTGACAGTTCTTTTGTGTTTCTTCCATTTGCGAGTAATCGCACCAACTGTTGTAACCTTCTCACCAAGCTGTTTGGCAATGGTCTTGTAGCCCATTCCAGCCTTGTGTAGGTCTACAATCTTGTCCCTGACATCCTTGGAGAGCTGTTTGGTCTTGGCCATGGGGGAGAGTTTGGAATCTAATTGATTGATTGCTTCTGTGGACAGGTGTCTTTTATACAGGTAACAAGCTGAGATTAGGAGCACTCCCTTTCAGCAAATCTGGTGGCCAACTACAAGAAACGTCTGACCTCTGTGATTGCCAACAAGGGTTTTGCCACCAAGTACAAAGTCATGTTTTGCAGAGGGGTCAAATACTTATTTCCCTCATTCAAATGCAAATCAATTTATAACATTTTTGACATGCGTTTTTCTGGATTCTTTTGTTGTTATTCTGTCTCTCACTGTTCAAATAAACCTACCATTAAAATTATAGACTGATCATTTCTTTGTCAGTGGGCAAACGTACAAAATCAGCAGGGGATCAAATACTTTTTTCCCTCACTGTATGTTGAGCTTCTTTCGCACCATATGTAGCCAACCGTGGTAATCGGAGGTGCGGGGGAAGGACAAGAAACTAAAACAAAAAGCAGTTCCAAGCGATGTCCAGGATCCACCCTGTTTAGCTTCCAAAGTCTGGCAGTTTTGGGTGCATTGTGAGTGATTTCAACAAAGGCTGTCAAAGGACTCCAAATACGTTTCCTAACATTACATCATGGTTGATGCGTGGTAGATTACCTGTGGTCCATGGAGTGATTTTTCACCTTTTGTATAACACCTTCGGTGTTCATAACCATCTCATCAGTCAGCAAGAAGAGCTGAAATGATACGAGGCAAGAAAAGTCATCATAACTAACGTTACCGCATCACGTGACTGTGATGGATTAGCTGCCATGCATTTCAACGCTGGCTAGTAAGCTTCATTCATAAATTAAAGGGGACAAGTTTGTCAGTTAAGTATCTCAGACAAGATTCTGCGAAAACCAGCACAGGTGGTGACCCGAGCTCTCACGTGTACCTTGCGGGGGTGCTCTGGCTTGCAGGGCTGTCTGTAGATGTCCGCCAGAGGCTCCAGGATATTTGTCCCACCCATGTCGGCGTCCGCGCGCTTCACGTGTGCCAGAGCGGCCTCAATTGTCTGCTGGTTGTACGGCGTGCTCTCGCTAAGAAACATTTTGCGTGGAAATTAATTTTGAATTTGGAATCTGCTTCATTCGGTTTCTTATAATAAAAGGTGGTAAGGTGGATGGATGGGTGGTGAGCGCACAACGCTATAAATCGGTGACCCCAGTTCGATTCTCGGTCAAGGCTAACACCATTGGCAAGTGATACCAGAACCGGTTTAGACCTCTCTCCCTCCAACAATCAAAATTTACGGGCATCGTAAAGTTTGGTCACGTTAAACCACCCTGCCCAAGGGTATTAGGCCTACTCTTCCATGCCGTTCAAGCATCTATGGAAAAGGTGGGAGTACCCATACTTTATCCCACCGCACACAACCTGCCAATTGACTAACGGTGGTGTCCCCATTTATGCTGCTGGGTGGACCAAAAGTGGGGGGCGTGGTGAAAAAACTTGCCCATTGACTCAACTGCCATGCCAGCAGATCAGATCGAGCAGGCGACGTGTGGATTGGTAACCCAGTGTGCGTGGAAGCATCCCTTTACCGAGGAAAGCCTTGCTCTCGAGAATATTAACCCATTCACGTTCTGATGGCGTACATGTACGCCAAAAACTGATGGCGTACATGTACGCCATCAGTTTTTCTTCCAAATCAGAAGTAAAAGGCCATGCGGGAGGGCGTGTGGCACAGTTTGGCGCCACCTATCATAGAGTGGGGTCGTGTCGCTAAAGTTCTCTGCGGTGAGTGCAATGTCTTTTAAAACAACGGTGCTACGCCTCTGCAAATGAAATTAATGCCGATCGGCTTGCGCGTTCCGAGATTTGGCGGTGAACGGGACACCCACCCTTGCAACTTGCAGGCGTCTCGGAACGGGAAAGGGTGAATAACAAAGGAGACTCTTCCAACACGTCCGGAAGTGTCAGGCATGTACCCTCTAGAGGGGATCCCTAGAGCCTCTGCTAGCAGAGGCCCTTCCTCCAGCGGTGGCACGAGCGAGCAATTCCAGGGATGCACCTCTACCTTTTAGGAAGTCAACCCAGACTGACACGGGCTATTAGCCCCTGTGCCGTTTGCCCATGTGGTAGGTACTTTACGTATAATAATAGGGTTTTTCCCCTTTTTTCTGGCAACAAAACTGAAACCTTTTTACAAGGAATCATGTCTGCATTAACCACAAAACTTGTGGTCAAAATGCAAACAAAACACACACTCTGATAATATATGCATTGTCCTTGAAACTGATTGGTCCACACCAGAGACAGCTAAAAGAAGGGGAAAAACCCTATTATTCTACTTTGGTACTGGCAAAGGAGGTCTAATGATGTAGATGCTTACCCGGAGCCCTCATTACTTTAATAGTGTATTGTCTTTGAGCTGTACACCTTTTGGTGTCCTCTGGTCTAGCACCAATTGAGACGAGGCTCCAAAGAAAGCTGTCTCTGGTGTGGACCAATCAGTTTCAAGGACAATGCATATATTATCAGAGTGTGTTTTTTGTTTGCATTTTGACCACAAGTATTGTGGTTAATTCAGACATGATTCATTGTAAAAATGTTTCAGTTTTGTTGCCAGAAAAAAGGGGGAAACCCCTATTATTATACTTTGGTACTGGCAAAGGAGGTCTAATGATGTAGATGATGAGGAACTTTACATGTTGCTGCAGGCAAGGCCGTAGCCATGGAGTCAACATTGGGTGGGACCAAATCTTCCAGGGTGTCTGGGGGTCCCAACCCAGAAAGATATCAAAATTTGAAAACTCATTTCCTGCCTAAAATATAAAAAAATGCACTAACATATGGGATGGACTTTTTTTTTTTACAATAATGTCTAATGGTGTATTGTATTACATTGCTCTGTTTTTACTTTTTTACCATTTCTTGTTTTATTGTATGTAATGTTGGAGATTAGGGATTAATAAAGTACAACCATAACCACAATCATATAAACATAAATCTATGCATTGATTTATATGAAGACAAGTCCAGATATTGTGGCCAAGGTTTAGCAAATTGTTGTTTTTATTTACATAGCATAGCAATTATTATTTCTTTTTTATAGCAATATATTGGGGGGGACATTTTGAGCATATTATAATTATGGCCTTGGCTGCAGGACTGACGTGCTGCTGAAATTACCATATACATTCCATTTTTTTACTCCAAACAAGTTTGGCTAATTTAATTGACTTCGCGCAACAAACTCACCCAAAAAGGGATATGTATCGGGTGCCAAATCTGTAGATGTTGAATAAACAGCCCATGGGAAGACTCTTTATGAGCAGAATCAACGTTTCCTACAGACACAATGCGGAAATACAAACTCGGCAACAAACACTCACATACAAATAATTCGTGCATTTGTTATTCGCGTCCCTAGCAGGTGCTATGCTTCACAGGCGGATACTCCGGTTTTGCCCTCCACGTTTAGAAACAACACGCGTTGAGAGTATTTGGCTGCTATAAATGTCCACGTGATAAGCCACTTCGTTTAGCTATCATTTGTTGCCAGGTCGCTTCTGAAAAATGGCTATATAGCTCAGTGGGCCTTACCTGGTAAAATAACACATTCCTGCGGAGGGAGCTGGTAGGAACGTTGGGTTGCTCGGTCAATGGTCAGGATCAACGGCAGCGTGGTGTATTCCACAAATATGCCCGACTGTGAGGGCGGGCACAAGCCGGCGTGAGTAGGTTAAACGTTGAGTTTTATAAGGCCACCACGGGGTGACCAGCCCCTCCCAACCCAGCCCCACCCCTCCCACCCCCTACCCACCCCCACCCTCCCCACCCAGCCCTTCCCCACCCAACCCCTCCCCACCCTCCCCACCCAGCCCCTCCCCACCCTCCCCTCCCAGCCCCACCCTCCCTACCCAGCCCCTCCCTCTCCACCAAGCCCCTCCCCACCCTCCCCTCCCCTCCTCACCCAGCCCCACCCCTCCCATTTAAGGATGTACGACGGATGGACGGACACAATAATCCCCTGTGGGCTGGTGTAACCAGGAGGTTCCTACCAGTAACAGTTTAAATAGTTTTTAATAATCTGCAGTAGATTCACAGTAGGGGGCGATGTTGCCATGTGATTTGGCGCAATGCAATTTGAGTCATTTTCAAAAGCTTTGGACTGACCGCGGCACACATGGGCTAATCTTCATTGCATGACATCAAGAGCTATTTAACAGAAAAAAATGTTGGGCTTAACACACGCTCAGTATTGACCCAGATGGCCGTTGACCGGCTCAGGATGCACCACACGTTCCCAATGAGGGGCGCCAGGGAATCTGGCTGAAGCGACACAAACCAGCGTGTGTGCAGGGGCGCTCGGGCCCAGAATATTGAAGACGTCTCAGCAGTGACAGTAGTTGTACGTTGTTAAGAGAGAGCCGAGCTGACATTGGCTGCAGGGAAAGATCTGGGTTGCACGACCAGGGTCAGAATGCCGTGTGCGTGGCAGCATTAAGTGTGTTCGCAGCCACGTCATTGCTCACTGAAGCTAAATGTTTAACAAATTGTGAATTACATATATATTTTTTATTTTACTTGTGCGCCACCTGGCGTCATATGGTGCAGTGGTTGATAGTGGTTGATAGAGACTGACCGGTATCTGCTTCTCAGTGTTCGTGGATGCCATTTAGCCTAATGAAGGCTTCTCCTCAGACCTCATTTGCTGCTGTACATGGCTGCACTACACCTGGAGCTCTACAATCCGAGGCCAGAGCCCATAAGCCAGCATTTTCAGCTGGCTTATTATACTCATGACATGACACGTTTGCTACGATGAGGACAGGGGCCTGGATTTAACTGATGGAAGTGGTGAGGAATTGTGCTGCTCCATTGTCATGACATGTGACAGAAGAAAGTAAGCACGTATATTTCGATAATAATGCGCATAATAATGAGGATAATTTGGAGGCATAAGAACTCGCCGCATTAATAAGGTGGGTTTGGCACAGCACTGGCATGGTTCATTTGTACAGTGGAAATGAGATCCAATTGACCTACTTAACGTGATACTGTATATTCATGTGGACCTGACAATATTCCAGAGGAGTGTTTGTGGTACCTTGGCACTTGCGATAGGCTGACCTCTCATACTGCCTGAGCAGTCAATGATAAAAATGAACTCCCCATGCTCGGAGGTTGGCACTGCAGTCTGCTCCATATCACCCGGGAAGAAGTTCAGCATAGCCACGGTGTCCGCCAAGAATGAGACCTCTGAGAAACAAATACCAACGTCATCATAAGCAGCAACATCGGAAGTAGCGTCAACATTATAACTATCACCAGCACCATCACCACAATCTTCACCAAAACCACCAACAAAAAAACACTCTTGCTGCCATCATAACCAACCATCACGAACAGGATCAATACCACCACAAACAATTATTATGACCATCGCCGCGAAAACTATCAACAACCCCATCACCTCCACCACCACATCAGCAATCTTCATAGTTACAACTACCACCTAACTAAACCACCATTAGTATCACCAACAGAACTAATGACACTACCAACACCGCAAAACTAATAACACAACACGTCAACTCTGACAGGAGGTTACGGAACATATCAGGTTTCATGGGTTAACCGAGTTGACTGGCAGATGCACCACCTTTGCTCCCTCTGTGCAAACTCTCTAAAATTATTCGCCAGGTACAGCTCCTTGTAACATTGTTGTGAGAGTTGCTCTTCCGTCTTGCATTGCTATTGGAGATCGGCTGTGTCTAACTGCCCAGTAACATCAATCATTCCAACTCTACTCCTAACCTAAAAATATACACTTTTTACAATACAAAAATTATGTTAATACCACTTCAGGGAACTCACAAAAAGATATACAAGTTGGCATGACTAAATCTAACTAAAATTATGTTTTGATTTACCAGGTAAGGCCCACTGAGCTATAGAGCGCTTTTTCAGAAGCAACCTCTCTATCACAAATAATAGCGCAACGAAGTGGCTTATCATCATGTGGAAATGTTATAGCAGCTAAATACTCTAAACGCGTGACGTTGATTCTAAATGTGGAGGGGAAAACCGGAGGACCCGGAGAAAAATCCACGCATCCACGGGGAGAACATGCAAATTCCAAATATACAGGCATTAGGGTCGGGGCCGAACCCACGACCTCCTGCATACCTAGTGAGGTAGTTAACATCTCGCCAAAGTGGCGTGTGATGGGCTTTTTATCGGAGGCCGTGGTGCCTGATGTACGAAGTTTAAGGAAACCATCGGGAGATGCCTGGATGGATTTTTTTCCTCTTTGGTGTGGTAGAGCGCCTTGTAACTACACAGGGCACTCTCCATCGTGCGGGGACAATGAACACCGCGTTCCATATTTGTGTCGTCTACTTTGAGGATGTCCACAGCTATAGATGATTATTATTTTTATCTCATTATGGAGTAGATGGGTGTAAATAGTTTAAGTGATAATTGTGTTGAAAATCTATTTTGTCATGCAACCGGCACCACACTGTACATATACAGTGGCACTGTCACGAAAGGATATGGCGTAGCCTCCAGCACAACCATTATAGAGGTCGCACTCATTACATTAAAAGGTCGCACTCATTACACACAAAATGCTTGCCACGAATGAACCACAAAACCTTGCTGATCTCGTCAAAGAGGATAAACCATCACGCATACTCCGGTCATCCTTGCGGCGGCTTTTAGCTAACCATCGAACAAAGACGGTCACTGCTTCTGCGGCCGTCTGGAACGCTCTTGCTTCCGATGTTATGAAGCCACTGGAGCTATGCACTTTTAATCATCTGGATTGAAAACTAATTTGTTTCAAACTGCTTTGTGTTTAAGTTTGTTGTCCTTCCCCTGCACCTCCGATTTGCACGGCTGGCTACGTACTGTGCGAAAGTAGTTTAACATACTTCGTACGAACATACATACAACCACAACACCCTGCGTAGTAGCTTTTAAAATTTGCCAACTATTAAGCCCAAGAGGGGGGAGGGCCTCCTCCTCCTGCGAACAGACACCAGTGGGGGTTGCACCGCCATGCTCCATCGCACCGCTCACACAGGCACAATGCATTTCCCCTGACCACCACGTGCTCACCTGCCACTGGTAGGCCAGGCTCCACTAGTGCAAAAGGTTGATGCTTCTGCTCATAGCTAATCAGGACCTCAATGTCGTGATCAAACCTGAAGTCTCCTTCCAGAGACACCTGTTGGGGAGTTCAGAAAAACACAGTCACTCTTTTCAGGGTTTGCCAGATGACACACTTTTCTCAACATATCAGACTGAATAAACACATTATAGGCAGTCCTCAATATGAGAGAAGGGTGTGTAGCCATCATAAGGCATGGTCATAAACCACAGTCGAATAACATTAACATGATATGAGTAAGGTTGCTTCAATATAGCGGTATTACGTTATATCGTACAATTTGAAATCCATGATAATCGTATCATCTATATTTCTAAATATCATATTGTAATTATCATTGCTAATATACATTAATTTAGTTACTTTCCCAACAAAAAAATATGAATTACAAAAAAATACGTCTGTTATGTATAATTTTCATATTTTGCAGAATAAAATTCTTATAATATAATAGAGAGCATGTGCGTGGTATATTGTTATAATGATTAGAAGAGTAATGGCTTATTTTGAATTAGCTGTTGTTGAGGAAACTTGAAGTGTTTGTTATTCGTAAATATTATTCAAAGCTCGTGAACAAAACAATAAACATGAACAATTAAATTGCAAAGTTATGGAAAACTGCTATGGGGCCGTCCGTAAATTACGTCACGCACCTGGGGGGGGGGGGGATCAGACATTTGTCACGATGTGTGGCGAGGGGGGGGTTTGAGAAATGTGATGTCACATAAAAATGCGCAACTTTAAATAAATATAGACAACACGTTCTACTTAATTAAATAGACTTTTAATAAAAAATGTCTCTACTCTTTGGTTCTTTCGGTAAAGTCACGTAGGTATAAAATAAAATAAATCAAATCACGACGTTTCGATCGCAACACAAGCGACCGTCATCAGGTGGAACAGACACAGCATGAAAACTGCTGACATAGGAGAAAGAACTGCTGCAACAAGAGTTGATATCGGATTTTGGTGGGCTCAACCCAAGGGTAAGTGGGTGGAGCTAGAGAAGGAATTTGTACGTAAATGTAAATGTGAGAGATTAGCATGTCAATGTGAGAGATTAGCATGTCAATGTGAGAGAGAGATTAGCATGTCAATATGAGAGATTGGCATGTAAATGTGAGACGGTCCCAGCCACCGGAGGTGGAGGAGATCCTGTGCCTTGGCTGCCTCACAGATATTTAGCCTGGTGATGTACTCGGAGAGTCGGAAATAACAGCTGAGGCAGGCAGGTAGGATGGAAACATGACAGTCAGTTAAGACTTTACTTGGTTAATAACATCCTTCCAATGATTGCTCAGTTTGTATCCATCTTCCTGGGTGAAGTTACGTCTATGTTTATATATCTGGATGGCTTCATTAACAAACCTTTGATAGTAGCCTGAAGGTTTGCAGAGCACCTTGGTCTCGGAAAAAACAATATCATGAGAGCCCACAGCGTTGTAACAATGGTCAGCCACGGCGGAGGTATTGGTTCTGCCGTGTTTCAGATCTGCCTTGTGTTCGCAGACACGGTCCGAGACATGTCGTTTCGTTTCCCCAATGTAACAATCACAACAGGTGCAACTTAGTTTGTAGACTCCAGGATATTGCATGTCAGGAATGACATCCTTCACAGATGGGATTAGATAATGGATTTGTGTACTGTACTGAATCGGACCTGGATCTTGTTTGTTTAAGATTTTGGAAATCTTTTTGGTAACGCCTGCTATGTATGGCAACCAAAGAGTATGGATCCCTGCAGTCACGAAACCTTCAAATCTAAATGTTTTATCCTACATCAGAGTGCAGCGGCACATTAAATACGCACTACAATGACAACAGTTTAAAGCGATTTGAAGCATGTTTTTTTTGGGGGGGGGCAGAGCTTTGTGACGTCATATTTGAGGGGGGCTCTGACTTTTTGTGACACCGTGTGACGAGGGGGGGGTCAAAAATCGTCTTAAAAATCGCGTGACGTCAATTATGGACAGCCCCTATGACGATAATCTTCCTATCATAACAGTTCATGTCACACAGTATCGTGAAAAATTATACCCTAATGATTAGTAAGTACATTGAGCAAACACATCTGAGATCCTGCATTCGGGACAAAGAGTAGTGGGTTAGGCATGAATTTGTCACGACCTTGTAAGTGTGAATGTGTTTTTTTCGAGTGTTCGGATTGATCGTCTCAGCTCAGCTATTAATAGTTGCGCGATGCCTCCAAACCCCATCTGAGAATAGTGATTAGCCTTAAAGAAAACGAATGTCTGGGAATATTAAAAAAAATATTCTCTTTTTTTCCCCTCTATATTTTCCCCCTTTTTGAACTTGGTCATTTTGTATTTCCCTGCTATGTGTATTGTACGCTGCTTTGAGATGCTGTGGCATTTCGGAAATCCCTCACAGTCGAGGGTGATTGTCTTTCCATCAATGTCTTATCTGTGGATGCAAAGACGACAGGATGACAGAATCTCGAGTCGCAGCTCGGGCGCGTGTTTTCGAGCGGGTTGGATGCCCCTGGGTTGTTGATTCGGTCTCCAACATACCGTTCCTGCCACTCCCGCTTTTGCTGCGCCTCTCATCATCGTAGAGTTTTCAAGTGCAGAGATCCTTGCAACAGCTTCTTCCACCACTTATTTATGTTGGCCTTGAGGACATCTTTGAAGTGCCTTCTCTACTCTCTTCTTGAGTCTTATACCTTGACTGAGCTGGGAGAATACACCTTAATTTGGCAATCTGGGCTCGGAGATGTGGACAACGTGGCTGGCCAAGGGAAATTTACGTGGACTGATCACCTAAATATTTATGGTTTTTGCTTGTGAGACGATGCTCATGTTGGTGCATCTGTCTTCCGAGTGGATTCTAATGATCTTCCACAGGCAACATTGATTACTAAACTAAACCAACACTTATTTTAGCAGGTAAGGCCCACTGAGCTATATAGCTTTTTTCAGAAGCGACCTGGCAACAAATGATAGCTCAACGAATATAATGCAGTGATGTGGCCTAGCTAGCATAGGCCACGTCACCGTAATATATTCATCTGCTGAAGCGTATGAAGCAATGTCATTATGGCGATCATTTTACGTGGAGTGACTTCATGCATGGTACCGTCTTCCTTGCAGATATTTGGCTGGTGCAGTGGGCGTGACGACATTACCCCTAGTAACTACTGCCATGCCCCTAGATTTGCGATGTATGTCCAGTATGTTGAACTTCTTTCGCACTGTGCGTAGCCAAACGTGCTTGTCGGAGGTGTGTGGTAAGGACAACAAACGAAACACAAAAAACAATTGAAAAGAAACTAGTTTTCAATATGGATTTTAAAGTGCAATTGCTTCCTAATATTGGAAGGAAGAACATTCCAGAGGGCCACAGAAGCGCAATCTAAAAATGTGGGCGATGCAGCGACCTTCTTTGTGCGATCTCAGTCGGACTCGACATTTACTTTAATATCTTTAGATTTTACCCTACGGCATTGCAACGACTACTACAGTCGCAGCCTGCTGTTTCATGACGAACATTTTACATTTATTTTCCCATCGTGCCAGCTGAATGACCACGCAAGTTTCTTAAATCCCCGACCAGTCCTCTGTCACCACACACACTATAAATAGGTACACCATAATACATTGATAAAATAAAATAACACAATAATATTCTCACGACGTTTCGGCCACAACACAAGCGGCCTTCATCAGGTGAAGGGGACGAGACTGTCTGGAGGACAGCGCTTGTCTCGTCCCCTTCACCTGATGAAGGCCGCTTGTGTTGTGGCCGAAACGTCGTGAGAATATTATTGTGTTATTTTATTTTATCAATGTATTATTTTATTCTCATTCTACGTGACTTTACCGAAAGAACCAAAGAAGATGAATCCTTGCAGTCACGAAAGCTTTAAATCGAAAAGGTACACCATAGTTGGTCAATCGACAGGTTGTGTGTCCAGCGTGGAAGAGTAGACTCAGAGGGGCTCTCTAGAGCTCCCTCTGGTGGAGACGTTTCCATCAGCAGTTGCATGAACGCTTAATTTCACGGCTGCAATATTACCTTTTACCAGAAAGCTATAACAATAAAAAAAACCCAGAGGGCAGCAACTGTAAGCAGCGAGACGCACCTGGGCTGAGGTTTTGCCAGGCTCGGTGAACGCCACGGGCCCCAAGAGATCACTGGGAGAGGAGACGTCGAGGATTCCTCCAGGGTTCTCTGCCGTGAGCGTGAAGGAGAGCGTGTATGGGACGTTCTGCGAGGGCGCCAGGTACTCCCACGTGATCATCGAGCCTAGCAATGACAAAGCGGTGGCGTGATAGCTCTCGCATGCGTTTCCGACGTTGTACTGCGTGTTTAAGTTGATTTGAGAGGTATCAAAACTTTGAACGTGGGGTAATCTTAATTGCATGACGTCACGAGATATTTAACTGAATTCGTTTTTTGTTTGTAGGGTTATCACGCCCGGAGTAATACTCCAGTTGGCCGCTTGATTGGCTCAGGAAGCACCACACGTTCCCAATGAGGGGTGCCCGCGAATGTGGCTGAATGTCAGCATTCAGCCGGATTCTTCGGGAACCGAATGGTAGCAACCACCGCTACGACGCCAAACCACAACGTGGCTCCAAGTCCCCGCACACCCCCAACTCCGTGAGCACAGAGGGAAGCCGGTACCTTGCGGCGAGTAGCGGGGGTTGAGCACCGTGGGCAGACAGAAGCGAACGGCGCCATCCGGCCCCACGTCCAACTCCGACACAAACTCGAGCGTCACCTCCGCCTCTTCGCCGGCGCCGAGATTGCCCAGCACGCAGTGAAAGACGTCGCCGCACTGCTGCGACAGCTGGGCCGCCATGTGCCCCTTGGCGATGGCGTCGTCGTACTCCTCGACGGCCTGATAATAAGGACACCACAACTGGAATTACCTGCAGGCCGTGCGTGCCGTGGACGTAGAGTTTGGGCTCGTTTAGTACGGAGCTGTGTACATCGTGTGCGCTCGTTTTCCGTGGGATACTGGGGCTCATAAATACATCATTGGAAGTCCGTCGATCATAATGCATAAGTCTGGTGGTATAACTCATAAGACAAATATCGCCCGTGTAGCCTATAACACACTGAAGGAGCAAGCTCTATTAGTGTGCACCTATGAAGGCGGGGATGGCCAGCACCATGCCTGGCCACCTTTGTTTCCCCAGTGGCGATGTTTACTCATCACACCAGGTACTCACTCATTTGAGGCTCATTCGAACTAGGGGATGTCCAGAACCGGTTCAGATATTCGCCACTGTTATTGGTCGTGAGTGGAAATCGAACTCGGGTGGCCAGGTTCGTAGGGCAGTGCTTTGGCCACTGCAGTGCTCTGCCCACTTCATACATGTGGAGTTCAACTGAGTCGCAGACGCACTTCTTGGAGGCAACACATTTATTAATACCAACATACGGGGTAACTGCCCCTTAACAAGATAACAACCTATGATGGTGGACCACCAGGCTGACTGCACTAATTGGTGTAGTTAACCGGGTGGTGACAACGTAACGAGATACAACGAGCTACAACGGACCGGACCACAGCTTGGGTCCAGGTCCATGTGTTGGTGACTCTGTAGAAAGTAGAACGTAGATTTTTCAGGATAATAACAGCAGCCAGTCCCTCTTGGGGACCGGCTTATATCCTCTATGGCGTGGCTGGCTCCGCCATTGGCCACGATCACCTTCCAGAATCCTTGAGCAGGATCTCGACCCTGACACGTGACCACCCCTAGCCCCCACTTGGGGCACCTGTGTAGACTTTACCGGTCACGTGGCCTCTGGGGTCAACCAGAGTGCCACGGCCCTTGAGAACCCCATTCCCATGGCCGGCACTCTCACACCCTATCCTGTAGGGGTCGGCACTGCACGCCAAGCATGGTGCCACTCAGCGCTATCGATCAGCGCTCACCGAGCCCCTCTCAGGCCGGTACTATACCCACATATACGTGGTGCCCGCGATGTCAATACATTGCACGCCATGCCTCTCTAGGGCCGGCCTTACACAGTGACATCCGCGATGTTACTACACATGCAAAGACAAAGATCCCCACCGCCTTAACAGGCTGTTGGGGCATGTACTGTTAGCAAGCAACTATGAAGGCCGGCACAGCACACGAGAGGGTGGGTGGCCAGCACCACTCCTCTTTGGCGACATTAACACACCGCACTAGGTACTCATTTGAGGCTGAGTAGACCTAGGGGAGGCCCAGGACCGATTCAGATAATCGTCCCTGGTTTTGGCCATGAGCAGGGATCAAACTCGGCTCGCCGGGTTCATAGCGCAGCATAGCGCTAACCGCACTTGGGCACACGCACACGCGCACAGACGCACACATGCGCACGCACACATGCACGCACAGACACGCACGCATAGACACGTACACACACAGACACGCACATATGCAACAACAACCGCCATTCGCCACTAAGTGGCGGTGACGTCACCACGACGCTTGTGCCAGGCCATGTGCACGTTGAGGCCACGTGAAGTGTCGAACGCCCGCTGGCAGGAGGTCACGGGGCAGACCCACCAGGTGCCACGGGTCGACTGACTGAGATGACTGGCTGATGCACCACCTGTTCCCCCTACTGTGCCAACCTGCTGTGCTTTAGCCACCCGGCGCTCCGCTCATTGTTGTGAGCGTCGCTCCTCCACCCTCCGTTGTTGTTGGAGGGCGACTGCCTTCAACTGCCCAGTAGCGTCCTTCACGTGCCTCCTCCACAGAGGCCGATCTTGACACCGCTGGTACCAGTCATCGGCAAGTCCACTCAACTCCACGACCTCCTGTACCACATCACTCCATCTCTTCTCTAGCCCGTGCCGCGCCCGTTTAGCCCCCTCAATCCGGCCGAACAAAAGCTGTTTCGGCATGCGGTGGCTGGGCATGCGGGCTACATGACCCAGCCAACGCAGCCTTGCCTGCCGGAGGAGCTCACCGATGGGACCTTGCCCAGATCTTTCAAGGATTTGTGAGCTCCTCACACAATCCAGCCTGGTTCAACCCAGGATGGATCGTAGGCAGGCTAGCCTAAATGTTTCTAACCAGCCAAGATGTTCCATTAAGGGGGTCCACGTTTCGCAAGCGTAGAGAAGGGAGGGAATGACCGTGGCCGAGAAGACCTGAAGCTTAGTGCGGAGCGACAGACCAGGTAGCTTCCACACAGCGTTACGCAACCGATTAAAATATATTCCCGCTAGATTGATTCGGAGTGAGACCTCTGCTGTTAAACTGGAGCCGGTCATAAGCACACTGCCCAGGTATGGGAAACTCTCCACTCTCTCCACAACTGCCCCATCACCGATTGGGAGTTGTGGGGGTGGAGTGTCCGATGGTACAAAATACCCAGGCAGGTGCTTAGTTTTGGTGGGGCTGATGGTAAGGCCCCATCTCTTAGTGGCATGCTCCAGTCTCAGCAGCAGCATCTCCAACTACTTCTCTGAATGAGCAGCTATTACCAAATCATCGGTTTACATAACGTGGTTGAGCCATCCCTTGACCGCACCCGGGCATCGATCAGCCTCCCATTATATCTGTACCAAATGGAGATTCCCCCGGTACAGCTATTGAAGGCTTCACGAACTACGTGGTCAAAATAATGTGGGAGCCAGAGGACATCCCTGTCGCACCCCAAGGTGTACAGGGAATGGCTCTGACTCCCGGCCACGTAGTTTTACCTGGGCCCGCTCACCATCATGAAGGTCCTTAATGATCGTGAGCAAGGAGTCAGGGGCTCCAAAAGCACGAAGAACAACCCAGAGCCCAGGCCTACTGATGGTATCATAGGCCTTGACCAGGTCAATAAAGCAGAGTTGTAGGTCTTGTTGGAATTCCTTACACCTCTTCTGTAGCAGACGGACAGAAAATATGGCATCTGTGCAGGACCGCCCTTTCCTGAAACCGCATTGGGGCTCCGCAAGCCTCTCCTCAGCGTGCCTGGCAAGGCGATGTTGAATAATCCTTGCCAGGACCTTTCCCGGCACACTGAGGAGTGAGATGCCCCTGTAGTTGTTACAGTCTGTGCGGTCCCCCTTCTTAAAGAGAGGGACCACCAGGGCATCCTTCCAATCCTGCGGAACCCGTCTAGTGGTCCAGACTGTTGTTATGATGTCATATAGTGCAGTCTGTGCTTGGGAGATCATCTCTGCCCGGTGCCTTTCCTGGTCTCAGGCTCCGGATCGCCTTCAGTACTTCCTCAACAGTACTTCCTCAACAGATGGCACTGCAGCCAGCCAGCCACAGGGGGTGACTTCTTCCAATATTTGAGGCACCGCAGCCTCTGCAGGGTCATCCCCACTTTGTGCCACGATGTTTTCCTGGCTGAAGGATTTCTCCTCCCCCAGGACCTCACAGAAATGCTCAGCAAATCTGCAAACCTGTTCCTGGGGGTCGAAGATTGGAACACCATTTTTCCCCTTATGATGGTAATAGGTGTGGCGCTGCAGGTTACTTTTTTGATGGAGTTAAATAGAGATTTGTGATCACGGGCCACGCAGCAACCCGCGACCACCACCCATCCTTGCAGCGCCTCATGGCTCTCTGAACCTCCGACCGAAGGCTGCGGTAAGCCTCCTCATTCTCTGACGTGGGATTCTGTCGACAATTAGAGTGGGCCTGTCGCTTTTTCTCAGCCAGCTTGAACACCTCCTCTATCAGCCAGGGACTCTGGGGAGGTCTGGACCGTGTACCCAAAGCAGCCATTGCAGCTGCATGAGTCACAGTCCTAAACCTCACCCATTTACCCTCGACATCAGGAGGAGTGGGGGACGATGCCAACCCCAGCCGCAAGCGATGATGAAATTCTCGCTTGCAACTTTCATCAGATAAGTGAGACCAGGCCACTTTAGGTTGGAATGGGGTCCTGGGTGTACACCCACCACCGGAGTGGAAGAATGGCAGGCGCATCTTACAGATGACTAGTCGATGGTCAGAGGGCAGATCAGCTCCACGGTAGGTCCTGGTGTCAAGGACATGGGCTTGCATCCGCTGGTCCGTCACTATGTAGTCCAGCAGATGTTCTTGCTTAGACCCGGCATGCATCCAAGATGTTGTGTGGATGCGCCAATGCCGGAACAGCGTGTTGGTAATGACAAGCCCATGGACTTCACAAAAATATAGCAGCCTCCTACCGTTGTTATTGAGCTGATCTGGCCCATGCCCTCCAATCACTCCAGAGCAGGTGCCAGCATCATGATCAACTCGGGCATTGAAGTCACCCAACAAGATGACTCTATCCCGAGGGGCCACTTTAGCCAGCACCTGTGACAGGAGGTAATAGAAGGCATCTGACTCATTGGCTTTGCTTGCATCCCTCCACGGATGTTCGTCTTCGGTGGGGGCATAAGTAACCACGACCACCACTCCTCGCCTCCGGTTGATGGGAAGGCGAGCCCAAAGTAGCCTGGGGCTTACAGCTTCCCATACCTCACCGCCATGCTCCCACGCCCCCTTCATTCTTTTGTTCACATGCACACACACACACACAGACAAGCACACAGACGCGTACGCACACACACACACAGACAAACACACAGACAAGCACACAGACACGTACGCACACGCACAGACACGCACACACACACACACGCAAACACACACAGACATGCACACACATGCGCACCTCCGATTTTTCCTTTACTGCCGCAACGATCTCTCGGTCCCCGACGCGCGCGCAGAACGCGTGCACCGCCGAGTTGTCGTTGAGCGGGAAAAAATAGGAGGGCTCGACGGGGAAGGCCTCCTTGTTGTGGTAGATCATGGAGGCCACCACGTCGGCCACGAAGCCCTGCACCAACGCCTTCACGGCAACGCTTCGCAGCGGCACCACTGGAAGCGACCACAGGAGCGGGAATCATTGATCAGCGGCGGAACTATCGTTTATCGGCGGCAAAATATCCAACGTGACTGCCAACACCATAACGAATTCGCATCACCACCGTTATAAGTAACACGTCACCGTGAATAGCAGCAGCAGCAGCAGCAGCATCCTCCTCACTATTGTGACCATAACTTTCGACATTTAGAGACGAGAGAGTACTGCTTGTTGTTCTAGGCATCAGCTACTACTAGAGTAGTGGTTCTTAACCTGGGGTGCACGCACCCCCTGAGGGTGCGAGACATGGCCATCTTCTTTTTAGAAGGTAAATCATCGAAACACAACGCACGGGCACGTAAGTACAACTACGTTGTTTCATTAAATCCTATGTATATATTAACATTATGACATTGTTTATGATTGAGAAACCAAAGGGATGCAAGGCTGCAGTAACGGTTTAAGAACCACTGCACTCGACCTAGCCGGGTAAGATGGCGTCGTCATCATTTTCCACTGCAACAACCGGGCCGGGGCCGTGCCAAGCCAGCCCGGCAGAGCGCCAGGTAAGACTCCACGGTTGTTTTTCCATGGCGGGTGTCGGAACCATGGTTTCTGCGTGTCACTGACTCATTATTATCATCGTCACAGGCACTGAACGAGTAGAGGCGCACGTAGACGGCGCGACGATGCCACACACAACGAAGGGCGCCGTTTGCCCCGCTCTCGGCCCTGATTGATGCCGAGCCAGATTCCTTCGCCGCGCGAGGTCAGCACATCACGGTGTCTGGGTCAGCTCGCAAGTCGCCGAAGCGTTTGAGAACTGCGGTGGTGAGGTAGGTGACGAGCCACTCGTCACCGCTCACCTCTCTCCTCGTGCTCGTGATGATAGACGAGGCCCCGATGCATCGTTCCGGCCGAGATCTCCGTTCAGTACGACACCGCTGCCTGCTCAATACGGAAGTGAGTCAGCTCCGATTGTCCACACACCTTTAGAATGTGACGGGCACAACGAATCGCACGCTCACTCCTCTGCAGCCATTTCACAATGGGGGGTTTTAAAAAATGGAAATGTACTCAATGTGCACGTATAAATGTATTTAAAAGCAAAATCAAATGGTATAACCTCAGTGCCAGATTATCCTAGTAGCTAAAGTACCTACATATGCTACGGCCCCGCACTTTCAAGGGCTCCCGTGCTAAATGCTTTCAAGCTGTCAATTCCGGTTCAGTGATTCTGCACTTGCTCTATTACTATAGTACTATACCGCCTTCAACTTTTATGAACGACTGGGTGTTTAAGGTTAGCGATTTGTTGTAATATCTGGATGTGAAAAAATACAATTTACTATGCAAGTTAAACATTTGTGTTTTAAAATTTACGTGTGTTTTTTTTATATAGGGTCCCTTCATAACATATATGCAAAAAGGCCCCGCACTAGCTTAATCCGGCGCTGTATAACCTACATGTGCCTTTGAGAAAATCACCCACAATGTGCCCGCTTCCATCAGACCTCGCAAGTTGAAGCAGGGTTGAACGGGTGACCCACATGCGTACAACAGCTATCGTAGACATCTGGGCAGTAGAGGGCAGTGCAGCAAACTCCACTTTTTGGTATTCTTTCCGCCTTCATCAAACCGCACCGACCAGCGTGGTAAAATATGGTCAAGGAACATTGTCTGTACAGTTTGTGGAGAGTCTTTCATTCAGCAGCAGGTTGATCAACAGGCTTGTGAGGGTGGGTGGGGCTACTGCTTCTAAATGGCAAAAATAATGGGAACTCATACTCTTTGGTTCTTTCGGTAAAGAGAGCTGTTACAACTAGAGGTTAACATATATAACCTCTTGTTGTAACAGCTCTCTCTTTGTGTTCTTCCTGGTTCAGTTCCACTGCTGGATACTTTTTTACGCCTGAGGACGACCGCTTGTGTTGCGATCGAAACGTCGTGATATATTATTTTTTTGTTTTATTTTTCTACCTACGTGACTTTACCGAAAGAACCAAAGAGTATGGATTCCTGCAGTCACGAAAGCTTCAAATAAGAGGAACTCCCAAATGCCTCAACCCAAAGTTCCCTCTAAAAAAAGGAACACAGCACAAGCAAATCCAGCAGCCACGGTGCACACGGGGACAGAGTCCAGTCACAGCTTTTTTGGGGGGGGAATGCTGTATTTATTCTCAACCTCAACTCCGACGTTCTCACCGTCCAAATGGAACCAAACGACAGAAACCAGTCATCCAAAGTTTCAATAGCTTTTTCTCGAGCCCCTAGGCCTGCCAACGTAAACCGATTCCAGGACGATGGTTCAGGCATATAGATCACCAGTAACATGGGGTTCACAAGGGCTTCCAGGCGTCACAATACAAAATGGAAAAACGTATAGGCAAAAGCACCGTTAACTTCAGTCGAAATTATTTTGTTAGGCTATCACAAGATCAGCATAATACGAACAGACTTTCGCGACCAATATAATGATTCATAATATATTTTTGCATAAGATCACAACGTAACCTGAACGAACGTGGCAATTTTATTATTGCTTCAGCACACCAATATGTTGGGAGCGAGATGCACACACATTGAACAATTGCGTTCGATGTTTCGCTCATAGTTGCAACCAGCATCATCAGGTAGGTGCCAGAATTGTGAACATGTCCTCCAGTCTTGGGCCATAGATGATATGATGTCAACAATGTGCACCCACAAAGGAGCAGAACGTGCCAGGAAGTAATACCTCGGGGTTAATATATTTGCCTAAATTATGTTAACAGATCATAGTTGTGTAAAATTACAATAAACTATTTCATATATGTTAAATGTCCCTTCATATAAGCACAATTTCCAACTTACGCAACACATCCAACACAAAGATAAATTACCCAACTCCAGGGCCAGATGATGTGTACTGGCGGCAAATGTTACATTGGCCAGACAGGTCGCAAAATTAGTACACTATTCAAAGTACATCAAATAAACATCAAATACTCTTTGGTTCTATCGGTAAAAGTCAAGTAGGTATAAAATAAATTAAATCACGACGTTTCGGGTGCAACACAAGCGTCCGTCATCAGGTGGGACAACCACAGCAATTGTTTCTTGCTGTGGTTGTCCCACCTGATGACGGACGCTTGTGTTGCGCCCAAAACGTGGTGATTTCATGTTTTTTTTATTTTATACCTACGTGACTTTACCGAAATAACCAAATAATATGGATCCCTGCAGTCACGAAAACTTCAAATCTAAACATCAAATACTGTACTCACAGACTCATTTATCTGTGTGTGCAAAACATGGATGTCAGGAAGGGCGCACAATTTAATGATTTAAGATTAAAGTCTTGCGTACAACGAATTATTGTTGCTAAAGAGTAAGTAGGAAATCAATTGAAATTGAGAGAAATTGAAATAAACTTCAACAAAGCAGATGGCTACAGAATGAACACTGCCTGGATATAAATTATGAATAAACAGTTCATAAATTGTATTGACTACATTAAATAACACTTCGCAAAATTCAAGACATAATACATCTCTCCAATCAACCATTATGACTAAAATCATTGTCGTACTAACATACATCATGCTAATTTAATTTATCTTATTATTCGATGAATGCTTGGGGGTGGGTCGGTTGCTGGACTGTTGTAATAGCATCCCACGAGTGAAAACTGAGGAACCAACTCTAAGCGAATACAATTGATCTTATTACATAACACTTAACTACATTTATGATAGTAAACAGCTCGAGACATTTCCACTCAAATCGATTATGTATTATAGCCTAACACCAACGATATCTACTATCGACCTGTCACTAATTCCTGATCGCACCAATCCCCAAAATATCAATTAACTAACCCTATCAACCAATTAACGCTGAACTAGAATCACAACAGCATTAACCGCCAGCTTTATAACGCCATACACCGTGTTATAAGAGGAAAGCCGATTTTCACTAACCACGACTCTAACCCGCCAATCACGACTATTTATCAACCAGCAATTACTGTTAATGTGAAACAGTCTGTCCCGTTGATGTAACGGCACCCATTTAAGGACCCGGACTAGGAAATGCTTCCACACAAGAGCTGAGCTTTGGTTAAACGCCTGATGATGACAAGCGCAGTCTCCGGCAAAACAAAAAAACATAACATGCTGTCGTCAAAATTCTACTTGCTTCTTCGACTTTCCGGAGGTTCGCCGATAAACCAAAATCGATTGGCGTGTTTGCCCACACGGCAATTAGATTCGATTACCTCCGTCGTATGGTGGAGGGTTACAGTTAAAGATTTGACATTTCATATGCCTGCACTGTGATGTACTCCAGAGTACTCCATGAAACTAGCATAGTCCGTGAAAGCCTACGTACGAAATAAAGAGCGTTGCATTTTTGCGACGTAATGTTACGGCATCTTACATTGATGTATTTCAGAACAGCTTTGTTTTACAAACTTTTATTTTAATAGTCATGTAATTGTAATTACGTTCATACATAAAAGCGAGGGATAGATATAGTCGCATTGGATTATAATTCAATGTTATCAGCCACTGAAAGATTGCGTATACACCACATTTAAGCACTGTACATACACTCTCGTATACAGGCAAAGATCCCCCATATATCCTTGACGGTTACACTCCATACCAAGTACTCATTTAAGGCTGAGTTGAGCTAAGTGAAGCCCTGGACCAGGTTCAGATATTCATCACTGGTCGTGGTCGTGAGCAGGAATCGAACTCAGGTCACTGGGTTCGTAGCACAGGGCGCGAACCACTACACCATTTCCCACACTCCCACCATCATCACCATAGCCACCTCCATGACCACCTCCACCCCCACCTCCAGCACCACCATCACAACCACCACCATCACAACCACCACCATCACCACCTCCACCACCACCATCACCACAACCATCACGACCGCTAAGCGTTGGGGTGGGCTGCTAGAGCCACCATGGGGTCGTCATCCCATGGGTCCAGAGTGGCCAGTTTGGCCTCCAGGCCAGGCCTCAGGCACCAACCCCACGCGGAGAAGAAGGGGGCCAGGTTGTGGCCCACACAGCGTGAGAACCGCTCGGCCCACTCGCTCATCTTGGCCTCCATCGTGGAGGGCGTCGAGGCCGCCCGCTGGTAGTCTCCAAACAGCCGCACGAAAGGGTCCCAGCCAAAGGCCTCCTGAAGCTGCAAGTAGGTCTCCAGGCAGGTGAACACGGTCCACGCGGCGAGCGGGCAGCCTGCGTCCACGTGATCGCGGAGGCGCCGCTCCCGCTCGGCAGGGCGCAGGTCAGGGTGGGCGCGCGCCCGCGCCACCCCAAGCACCTCCTCGTGGACGTAGACGGCGAAGAGGTTGTTGGTGGCCTCCGTGGTGTGGGGTGGGAAGTTCCAAGCGGGCCGCTGGCGGTTGTGGCCGAGCTCGTGGAGGGGTCCCCACATGCCCTCCGCACGCATCTCCTCCTCGTTCAGAAGCTTGGGGATGGATGCGCGGTGCACCATGATGGGGTATCCCGCATGCATCCAGCCGTGGCTGATCTGCTCGTCCACCACGATTCGCTCCGGCCGCGCAGACGGGTGCGGTTCGGCGGCCAGGTAGGCGATGGCTCCCGTCATGCGGTCCCACAGCCGCATCAGCCTCTCGGGGTCGGCCAGCCCACGCGCGGCCTCCGACGGCACCGTAAGGATGAGGCTATCGCAGGCCAGCTCGGACCAGGGAGCGGGGTAGTGCCGTTCGAACTCCTGCCAGTGCTGCAGGCTGGTCTCGCCCAACTTGAAGTAGGGGGCTCTCGCCGCTCCCCTAACCCTCACGCGGATCTTCCCCAGGCTCACCCCCTCCGGCACCAGCAAATACAAGAGCCCCCCCCAACTCGACGCCACCTCCATAGCTCCCCGGTCCATCTCTCCGCGCACCACTGGCATGCTGCGGGTAACTTCTGGGTGGCGTTTCATAGTTTTGGAATCGTACAGCTGATCAGTGTGGCATCCCAACTGGATCTGGATGCCTCTGCCAAGTGCGAGCGATGGGAGGTCGAGCAGCACGCGCTGAGCAGGTGGAGCGTAGAGGCCGGTGCTGACCCATGTCAGCCCCTCCTTGCTAGAGACATCAATGGTGACTTCTTGCCAACCTCTATACGTCGGCTCCAAAGGTCTTCCTGGAAAGATGTCTCCGAGACTGAAGAACTCCTCTCCTCCTCCTCTTCCATGTCCTCCACATCGTCCACCTCTGCCACCTCCACCATTGCACAAGGCCGCCAACAATGTCACCAGCAGACCGTCCACCACGTTGTGGGCCTGCACGGGCCTCTCTGGACCAACCGCAGCCAGGTCGGGCCACAGTGGCCCTCGGAGGAGGTCCCACACAATGGCCCGCAGCGGACGAAACGCCGGGTCGCGACTTCCGAGCAAGGGGACCAGGTCTCTTCGCAGGAGGGAGACCAGGTTCGTGAGACGTGGCCCGGACAGCTGGGACTTCTTCATGAGGTGACATGCAAAATCACGCAGGCCCAGGCGCAAGGAGATGGGGGCAGTGGAGCGAGGGCAGTCGAGAGCGGGGACCGTCTGGAGAGGCCGCCCGGAGAGGAGGAGGCGGCCTTCACCACAGGCTACGGCCGTGATGGTGAGGCCCATGCTGTTGATGATGCGGTTCCCAGGGTAGAGGTCCACAGCAGACATCCCCGGACGGCTGGAGCTCCACCACCACGCCTGGCCCGCTACGAGAAGCCCTCCACCACCTTGCGCCACGAACTCACGGATCGCCTCCACCTCCTCGCCATCCCTCCCCCAATCCCCCAAGCCCCCCCCCTTTTCCTCCTCCAAGCCAGCGAAAGGTCCGTAAGCCGGGCAGCAGAACACAGAGAGGTTGGGTGGCCGGGCACCCCTGGGGAACGAGTCGAATTCGACAACGCGGGGCACTCCCAGGTTTGTAAGTGTCTCCTTGAGTCCAGCCAGGTGAGACCCGGCTCGTATCCCCACGGTCCCCACCATGGCCAGCCCCGTGGAGGGGGGAGGGGCGTCCCCCCCTGCCAGCCACGCGAGTGCGGAGGCGAGGGCGGGGCGGGCGCTGGGTCGGGTGGCCGCGATGGTCTCGTGGCCGAACACCACAACGCGGCCCGCCCCGTGACGCGAGGCTCCAACCACAGCGCGGCCCTCGCCGTCCACCAGCAGGGGGAAGGCCATGGAGCCGTGGGCCACCACCTGCGAGGGGCACTCAGTGCCCAGGGCTATTTCTGCACAGTCAATAGCGGCTGCTATCTGCTCGTAATCAGCGCCATAGCAGGGCTTGTAGCTGTACAAGATCGCCGCCTCCGGCACCTCGTCGCTCACCATCACCGGCCCCTTCTCCGCCGTGTCTCGGCTCACCAGGATCCCGGCCGCTCCCATGACCCTGTTACCAGGGAATCCATCCAGGGGGTCCGCGGGGTTTCCGTTCACGGTCGTCCAGTACCAGGCCTGGCCCCCCACCAGCAGCCCCCCACCACGCCTCACAAATCTCTCCAGGGCCCCCCAGTCCCGTGCGGCGTAGGCGTCCGTGCAGAGGACGGAGATGCCCCCATGCGTCTCCTTCCGTTTCTCGTCCACCTCCACCTCATTATTCTCCTCCTCCTCCTCGCTCAGGTCCGATGGCTCATCGATGACGCCGAGCCCCTGCCTAAGCAGCAGCTGGCTCAGTGCTGATCCACGCAGGCTCTGGCTCAGGGCGATTGAGCCAGCATGCGAGGAGGCGGGGGAAGAGGAGAGCCAGGCGATGGAGTTGAGAAGGAAGTGGTGGAATTTGGGCGAGGAGAGGTAGGTCTCGTGGGAGAGGACAACCATGCGTCCTGAACCCAGGGTGGAGGCGGCGATGAGCACCTGGTCGGAGGAGTTGACGGCCACGGGGAAGGCGTGTGGCAGGGTGAGGAGGAGGCGGGACGGCTGAGCTTCGGCATCAAAGTCCAACTCCGATATCCCAGCAGTGAGCTCGCGGTACGCGTCCCAGATGTCCATCTTGCTGGGTGGGTGGGTGAGTGGTTGGTAGAGAGGGTGAGTGGGTGGGTGAGTGGATTTGTGAGTGTGGATGAGTAGGTGAATGGATGGGTAGGTGAGCAGACGGGTGATTGGGTGAAGCGAGTGACTGCGAGAGGAGTGAGTGGTTGCTGGAGCGGGTTTGTGGCTGGGTGAGTGGATTTGTGAGGATGAGTAGATTTGTGAGGATGAGTAGGTGATTGGGTGAGAATGAGTGGGTGGGTAAGGTAAGTGAGTGGTAGAGCGGGTTAGTGGGTGGCCGGGTAGGTTAGTGAGTGGGTGAGAATGAGCGAGCAAGTGAGATAGTGGGTGGGTGAGTGGATGGGTGAGAATGAGTGAGTGGATAGGCGAGTAGGTAGGTGAGTGAGTCGCTAAGTGAGTGGCTAGGTAGGTGGGTGGGTAACCTCCGCAGGAGACAGTGAGGCAAGGCTACATTCAGAGGCAAACACTGAGCTGGTGAGCGCGGCGTGAGCAGGGCGAGAGTGGGAGAGGATTGTGTGCATCAGGATGTGCGTGTTTATGTAGGATGCGTGTGAGAGAGTGTGTGTACGCGTGTGTGTGGACTTGCCGATGACTGGTACCAGCGGTGTGAAGATTGGCGTCTGTGGAGGAAGCTCGTGAAGGACGCTATTGGGCAGTTGGAGGCAGCCGCCCTCCAACAACAACGGAGGGTGGAGAAGCGACGCTCACAACAACGAGCGGAGCGCCGGGTGGCTAAAGCACAGCAGGTTGGCACAGTAGGGGGCACAGGTGGTGCACCAGCCAGTCATCTCAGTCAGTCGACCCGTGGTACCTGCTGTGTCTGCCCCGTGACCTCCTGCCAGCGGGCGTTCGACACTTCACGTGGCCTCAACGTGCACATGGCCTGGCACAAGCGTCGTGGTGACGTCACCGCCACTTAATGGCGAATGGCGGTTGTTGTTGTTGTGTGTGTGGTGGGGAGCGGTGGTGTAGCGGTTAGCGCGCTGCGCTACAAACCCGGCGACCCGAGTTCGATTTCCGCTCACGGCCAACACCAACAGTGACGATTATCTGAACCGGTCCTGGGCCTCTCCTAGGTCGACTCGGCCTCAAATTAGTCAACATCGCCACTGGGAGACAAAGGCGGCCGGGCGTGGTTGCTGGCCACCCACCCCCTCTTGTGCCGTTCCGGCCTTCGTCGACTCGGCCTCAAATTAGTCAACATCGCCACTGGGAGACAAAGACGGCCGGGCGTGGTTGCTGGCCACCCACCCCCTCTTGTGCCGTTCCGGCCTTCATAGGTGCTGTGCTCGCTAACAGCACTTGCCCCAACAGTCTGTTAAGGCTATACGGGTGATCTTTGTCTTGTGTGTGCCTGTGTGAGTGTTTATTTTAGTGTGTGTGAGCGTTGTTGCACACGCGGGAGTGTTCTTGCACAAGTGGCAGTGTTTCAGTGAATTTGTTAATTTTAGTTCCTACTTCAGACACCTCGCTTGACCCTGCAGCAAGCTCTGTCCTCCCCCGTGTTGCGAAACAGGGAGTAATTAATTAATTAAATCATAAACGAATACATTCATCATTCCTCTTGGTCACCCCAGCCTTGAGTCTCAAGACTCATCTTCAACAAAAATCCTGCAGCGATGTCCCGTCGCTGCCGTGCGTGGTCACAATAGCTACCTGGGGTACTTTACCTTTGTTTCTGTGTACGTGGAGGATTGTGGTGTCACGTGAGCAGCCCCCACCACCCATTCCCCCCCTCCACCCCCCCTCCACCAGGTGTGGTTCGGGGTGCCACGTGACTGAAGCTCATTAATATTCATTAGTTACCTGCTGAGGAATGTACCTCGAGTCACCCACTCAGCTCTCGAAGCCCTTCGAAAACATCGTCGCGAGAATTCACAGAGACCCGTAAGTAAGACTCATCACACGGAGGCACACCGACCCACACATTCTCCGTGTGGTGAGTCTATTGGTCGCTCTGAGGCCAAGGGTCTCTATGTGGTGAGTCTATTGGTCCCTGTGTAATGAACATATGGCTCTGGCGTACATATGGGAGCTCTATCATGAGTTTATACGGGTCTCTGTGTAATGAGAATATGGCTCTGGTGATCATATGGATCTATGTGATGAGTCTATAGGTATCTGTGTAATGAGCATATGGCTTTCGTGAGCATATGGATCTGTGTGATGAGTCTACGGGTCTCTGTGTGGTGAGTCTATGGGTCTCTGAATTCCTCACAATCCAGCCCGGTTAAACCCAGGGTGGATTGTCGGCAGACCAGCCTGAACGTTTCGAACTGATGTACATGTTCCATTAGAGGGGTCCACATTTCGCAAGCACAGAGAAGAGAAGGCATGAATGTGGCCGAGAAGACCTGAAGCTTCGTATGGAGCACACGGCCAGATAGCCGATGAAAAGATGCCGCTTGACTGATTCGGAGTGAGACCTCTGTTGCCAAACCGGAGCTGGTCATAAGCACACCAGGGACGTGCAGTCAGGGGAGGCAGAGCCTCACCTGTCATACTCCAATGAAAATAGCTGTTACGAAAAGTAAAACAAAAGTATAATCAAATAAAATAAATATTACAATTTTCCCCTGATCTGTGTTATAAATGTAATTTCTGTACGATTCCAATAATTTTTATAGTCAACGACAAGCTCAGACTCCCCTCTGATTGCGCAACCCCGCAGTAACTGGGTGGAGCGCGGGCAATAATCGCGTGCCTGTTGCTATCTCAGTATGTCACCAATGTAATGTTTGTAGACCCCATCATTTCATGTCCTCGCCTTCCATACTCCAGGTAACTTATTTCACGTATGTGTATAAATATATTTAGGCTCGCTGGTCTCGTCATGAAACTGCAATGAAAAAGCACCAGGGGAGGCAGCTATCACATCTGCCTCACTGAGGGGGACGTGTCAGACACGCCCCCCTCAGTGAGGCCACGCCCCCTCCGTGAGGCCACGTCCCCCGCAGTGTGTGAATCTGGCTCCGACACGAGCCAGTGCCTCCCCAGCCATTGACCTCACCGCACGTCACTGAAGCACACTGCCCAGGTATGGAAACTTCTCCACAACTGCCCCATCACTTGTGGTAGGTTGAGGGGTGGAGTATGGGATGATACAAAATACCCAGGCAGATACATAGCTTTGGTGGGGCTAAATGGTAAGGCTCCAACTCTGAGTAGCATGCTCCTAGTTCAGCAGCAGTATCTCCAACTCCTTCTTTGAGTGAGCAGCAACCACCAGCTCATCAGCATACATAACATGGTTGACCAACAGAGCCATCCCTCGACCGCAGCTGCAGCAGTGGTGTAGCTAACCGCGAGCTAACCACTACACCACCGCTCCCCACACTCATATACATACTCTCGTATACATATGTAATGTAGCTCTCAGAGACACCGTCTTGTCCTTCTGTATATTTATTATGAATAAAGTCCACTGACAACTCAACGAGTAACCACGGGTGACTATATACACTTGGCAAGTTATACGACTCTATTCTGAGACAACATAGCCTCTAGTCTCAAGACAATTCGAAGACGATGGAGACGACCCGTTCCAAGGCGGCGGCGACGACGGCGATCCCCCACACCAACAGCCCCCAGGTCCGGTTCGCGCCGGCTCTTATACCTCGCCCGGTCCGGCCATGCCCCTTATGCCTCGCCCGGTCCGGCCACGCCCCGATTCTCGAATTCTCTTCGCCGCACCTGGCTCCATCAATCTCCGCCCTTATTACACGTTGCCGCTATTGGATCCCGTGCTCCCCCTCACGTGACCCTGTCAACGCTCGTCCCATCAATCATCTTTAGCACGTCCATTAGTAACCATGGTCCCGGGGAACCAGACTGTCCCTCTATCGCTCCGCAATGTCTTTACACATACATACACTCGTATGCAAAAACAAAGATCCTCCGTAGAGCCTTAACAGACTTTTGATTTAAAGCTTTCGTGACTGCAGGGATTCATATTATTGGTTCTTTCGGTAAAGTCACGTAGAAGGGAAACAATAAAATAATAAAAATATAAAACAATAAAATTCTCACGACGTTTCGACTGCAACACAAGCAATCATCATCAGGTGTGAAAACCACAGCAAGAAAATTTGAAAAAAGTGGCGGTTATTTTTAATGTTAGCACCACGGAGTGCGATTTGACAGTTGTTCAGATGGACGAGTCCATCTATGTTCGGAAAAGAGGAGAGGGGAGAAGAAAATAATGGATGCGGTCTGAAAGCCACCGTAAGCGTGAACAATCAATTAAGACCCGAAATGGTTTATCAAATCCTTCCAATGATTGCTAAGCCAGAATCCATCTTCTCAGTTGACATTGTCTCTGTGTTTGTATATGTGGATAGCCTCATGAACGAATCTCTCATGGTAGCCAGATGGCTTGCAAAGCCATCTGGCTACCATGAGAGATTTTATTATTTTATTGTTTCCCTTCTACGTGACTTCACCGAAAGAACCAATAATACCTAACAGACTGTTGGGACAAGTACTGAGTCGAGCAATGGGAGGGCCATGATCGGTTTATATAATCGTCATTGGTGTTGGCCGTGAGCGGAGATCGAACGTACAGTCAGTGGTATAACATGTGTTACGGTTCCAAGGGGAAAAAATGTCAACTCATAAATTAGAAAAATATTGTACATTTTCATGTAATACTGTATTCAATATTGTGCAGTAAATAAGCAAAGCACTAGCCCTGTGCATGGGGTGTATGGTGCATTTATTTTGTTTCGTTGCAGTCAGGGGATTTCCACACCATGTGCCAATGTAACCAAACACGATATTTAAGGGGCTTTTTTTACTGAAGCTGCTCTAACCAAGTTCCCCTGGAATTCCCCTGATCTCGTCATATTTGAGAAGCTAAGCTGGCTGAGCAGTTAGGAGACTTTAGCCCCTTCTCGCAGTGGCACCTCCACCTTGATACGCGTTTTTGCATCACCTTAAACCAACAACTAATGTCACCATATAGGCGAAATATAAGTTAATTCAAATCCAGATGCACTATATTGGCAACCACAAACAGGACAACTCTTGAAAGAGTCCAATGAGACCTGGTGACAAAGATAAGAGCACCGCACTATTGGAGTCCCCTAAACTCTAAGACGAATACAACGTTGGGAAGATGTCACTGCAGATGTGGACTTCATTTATTCTGGCCCAAAAGTTTGGCAGCCCCTCCGGAAACAAAGTGTCTTAAAATTCACAGAGCGCATTCCGCCAATGATCACAGAAGATGCTGTGGCTTCCCCATATGTTGTTCTGTTAAAAACACCAATGGATGATCTTAACAAAAAGCGATAAACAGGTCATCATTACCTTGAGCCAACTATCACGAGCAACAGATCGAACGAGATAAGTAGCAGCAGCCCTCAAGGGCCACACATTTCAACAAGGCAACGGAATATGATGGCCTGTGTCCTGAGTTCCTAAAGAACCCGGGGCTATAATGGGCAACAATGCCTTGCAACATCATACACGGGCAGGCTGAATCCCGAAAGGGTTGAAGCAAAGCCAAAGTCATCGTCACCCTGAATCCCAGAAAGCTGCAAGTCCCGCCCTGAAGCTTTTTTTAAATGTAAATGTAACGTTTAATCCAAATGAATGTATGAAATGAAACATTTGTTTTTTTAAAGGGTGTGTTTGTTACTCAATAGCCACTATCAGGGTAACTTTCCACATGCCAATGTTGAATGTAATGCTCACCAGGCTCCATGGGTGAAAACAAGTGCAGTCTTCAACGCTTATCCACTCTGTCTCTGTGGCCTCTCTCTATGGGTTATGACCAAAGGACCATTGCCCTAAATGTCGCCAATTGTCCTTCACTTTTAAGGCCACACAGTGATTTAGACACGGAACTAAACAAAACAACAGTTTATTTTTATTTTACCAAGACCCACCTAGCTATAATCTAAAGCTCTTTCTCAGAAGCGACGTGGCCACAAATTATAGCTTATTTAAGGAGCTCTCTGACGTGGACATTTATAGCAGCCAAATATGTTCTCCAAACGCTTGTTTATAAAAGTGGAGGGAAAAGCGGGCCCGTGGCTAAAACCCACGAGACCACGGGGAGTGAGACACGCAAAGTGCACAATATACAACAGGCGTCGTGGTCGTGTTTAAACCCACGACCTCCTGCATACCAGGTGAGGTAGTTAACATCTCCTAGCCACCGTGGCCTGCTGAAGGAGATCCCTAAACAGCCACTCATCTACCCACCAGACGGCAAAGTCACGCGCGCGTTCATCTGTCGCTTCTTGCAGGTTTCCTAAGAGGCCCCAAGGACCCCCATGGCGTGAAGGCTGCCACAGCGTTGCCTGGCACGATTCGCCTCGCTCGGCGGGGCCCTGGACGAGGGTTTGTGCCAACCAGGGGTCGTAGGAAGGGACGTAAGGGCTGCTCAATGTCTTTCCTGGTGTCCCGTCTAACCGAGAACAAAAGTTGGGCAACGTTCCAAAATCTGCGGTTGGAAGCAAACGGATAACATCAACTTTTGTAACTGCGGAAAATGGCCCATCGCGACTTCCACGGCCACTGAAGCAAGTCACGGTGACCACGAAACACAACGATTGTGATCGCCCATCATTGTAATTGCGGCTGGGCTGCGTCCCCACCTGCTGCTGCAGCGACTCCACGACACCTACTTGCTCTGCTGCTATACTGCTTCAGGCATCGCTTGCTACCGGTGTATATACATTAAAGAGATTCAGACTATAGCCTGCAACAGACTGTTGGGGGCAAGTGCTGTTAGCGAGAAGCACTCGTCTACACACACACACGTCGACAAACACACACGTCTACAAACACACACGTCTACACACACACACGTCTACACACACACACTCTACACATACACACTCTACACACACACACTCTACACACACACTCGTCTACACACACACACTCTACACACACTCTACACATATACACGCTACACACACGCTACACACACTCTACACACACACTCTACACACACACACCCTCTACAAACACACACTCTGCACACACTCTACACACACACACTCTACACACACACACTCTACACACACTCTACACACACACACTCTCTACACACACACACTCTACACACACACACTCTACACACACACACTACACACACTCTACACACACTCTACACACACCCACTCCACACACACACTCGTCTAAACACACACTCTACACACACACTCTACACACACTCGTCTACACACACTCTACACACACACACTCTACACACACTCTACACACACACATACTCTACACACACACACTCTACACATACACACTCTACACACACTCTACACACACACACTCTACACACACATACCCTACACACACTTTACACACACACTCTACACATACACACTCTACACACACTCACTCTACACACACTTTACACACACACACTCTACACACACACACTCTACACACACACACTCTACACACACTCTACACACACACACTCTACACACACTCTACACACACACACTCTACACACACACTCGTCTACACACACACACTCTACACACACTCAATAACACTCTACACACACACTCGTCTACACACACACACTCTACACACACACACACACTCTATACACACACTCTACACACACTCTACACACACTCTACACACACACACACTCTACACACACACACTCTACACACACTCTACACACACACTACACACACACTCGTCTACACACACACACTCTACACACACACACTCTACACACACTCTACACACATACACTCTATAAACACTCTACACACACACACTCTACACACACACACTCTACACACACTCTACACACAAACACTCTACACACACACTCTACACACACACTCTACACACACACTCGGCTACACACACACACTCTACACACACTCTGCAGACACACACTCTACACACACACTCGTCTACACACACACTCTACACACACTCTATACACACACACGCTACACACACACACTCTACACACACGCTACACACACACTACACACACTCTATACACACTCTACACACACACACCACACACACACTCTACACACACTCTACACACACACTCTACACACATTCGTCTACACACACACACTCTACACACACAACATACACACACGCACTCTACACACACACACTCTACACACACTCTACACACACACACTCTACACACACTCTACACACACACACTCTACACACACTCTGCACACACACACTCTACACACACGCACTCTACACACACACTCGTCTACACACACACACTCTACACACACACTCTACACACACACACTCGTCTACACACACTCGTCTACACACACACACTCTACACACACACACTCGTCTACACACACACTCTACACACACTCTACACACACACACTCTACACACACACTACACACACACTCTACACACACACACACTCTACACACACACTCTACACACACACACTCTACACACACACACACTCTACACACACACACACACTCTACACACACTCTACACACACACACTCTACACACACACGCACTCTACACACACGCACTCTACACACACACTCGTCTACACACACACTCTACACACACACACTCTACACACACACTCGTCTACACACACACTCTACACACACACTCGTCTACACACACACTCTACACACACTCTACACACACACACTCTACACACACACTCGTCTACACACACACACACACACTCTACACACACACACACTCTACACACACACACTACACACACACACTCTACACACACACACTCTACACACACTCGTCTACACACACACACTCTACACACACACACTCTACACACACTCTACACACACACTCTACACACACACTCTACACACACTCTACACACACTCTACACACTACACACACTCGTCTACACACACACACTCTACACACACACTCTACACACACTCGTCTACACACACACTCTACACACACACTCTACACACACACTCGTCTACACACACTCTACAGACACTCTACACACACACACTCTACACACACACACTCTATACGCACACACTCTACACACACACTCTACACACACACCCTCTACACACACTCGTCTACACACAAACACTCTACACACACACTCTACACACACACACTCTACACACACACTCGTCTACACACACACACTCCACACACACACTCTACACACACTCTACACACACACAGACACTCTACACACAAACACTCTACACACACACTCGTCTACACACACACACTCTACACACACACACTCTGCACACACTCTACACACACACACTCTACACACACACACTCTACACACACACACTCTACACACACTCGTCTACACACACACACTTTACACACACACTCTACACACACACACTCTACACACACACACTCTACACACACACACGTCTACACACACACTCGTATGTGCATACTCTCACACAGAGCTGATTAGGTGTGCGCACCCAACCAGCTCCGTCACCGAGTTTTCATTTTAATCCAAACAATGCGCAACTTTCTTGATATTGTTTTTCCCGAGATCAAGGTACTCTGCAAACCTTCGGGCTACCATCAAAGATTTGTCCATGAAACCATCCAGATATGTCAACACAGAGACAATTTCAACCGAGAAGATTGGTATAAGCTGAGCAATCATTGGAAGGACGTTATTAACCAAGCAAAGTTGTAACTTGCTGTGCTGCTTCCATTCCTCCCTGCCGTTTGGCTGTTATCTCCGACTCTCTGAGTTGCATTGCCCTGTTAGGTGCTTCTTCAATAACGAGCTGGGGTCTCAAGAACATGGCCACCTCTGCTCTCTTAGCCTCGATGTATCGATGGCTCTGGCTGTGTGATGGGATGTGTATCTCACTGGCGCGACCACCGTTGTTGTGGTTCTCTTGCGTGGACGCGTTTGCCTCGCACAACGCAGTTGGCAGCGCCGCAGCTTGTGTTACACATAGACATGACATGAACTTGCCAATCCCCCTAACCTCTCCCATCAACATAGTGCTAATCTCCCATTAACACTGCTCTTGTGCGCATATGCGGGGACGATGCTGTTATGCGGCAACGGAAGCTCATTTCGTGCTAATCTCTCTCCCTAATGTCTCTCTCCCCAATCTCCCCCATTAACACAACTGACGTGTTTGCGTCCGGGGATGGAATTCCTTTCCAGCTCAGACCCCGCCGGCTTGCCCTTCGCCACATCTATAGCCTCTTGTTGTAACAGCTCTCTCGCTGGCTCAGCAGTTCCACTGCTGGATTGTTTTTTTCCGCCTGAGGACGACCGCTTGTGTTGCGATAGAAACGTCGTGCTATATTATTTTTTGTTTTATTTTATTATTTTTCTACCTACGTGACTTGACTGAAGAACCAAGGAGTAATGCGCAACTTTACTCGGCGCATATTTTAGCAACAAACAAAACCCAGCGCGGGATTCTAAAACGTCACACTCAAATTCAATATATGTTTTTTTTTTAAATGTGATACCAAATCATGCGCAAGAAGAGAGAGACGTTTAATAAAGCGGTTTGCGAAAACGAAACAAGTTAAAAGTGGAAACGTACCTGGTTTCACTTCCACGGACGTGCCGAGCAGGGGAAGCCAAGCCGTGAGCGAGCGAGCGTGTGTGTGAATGTGTGTGAGTGTGTGAATGTGAGTGTGTGCCAGGCCTGGTGGATGCCGAGCTGTGTTTATTGTGTTGCGTTACGGTCAGGGGGGATTTCCAGACCATGCGCTGTATCGAGAGATACATTTACGCGAGTGATTGAGGGAGGGGTTTTCCTGAAGCTGCTATAACCAAAGTCACGTTGAAGGCCCCCCGGTTGGCCACCACGTACGGCGCGAAATAAGTCCAACACATTTCCCGTCGCATTCGAAAAACTGAGCAAGGCTGAGGAGTTGGGAGAGGCGGCAGTCGTTCCCTTCTTGCTCCGCGAGCTTTCACATCACCTCAAATCACGCAGGCACACAACAAACGTCACCGTTGCGGCCAAATCATCTCTCTTATATTCAAATTGTGGGCACGTCTCGCTTTAACGGGCGCGTCTCGCGTTCCGCGGGGATTGCTCGTTGAGCGAACACTCGCTAAGCGATCGTCGCTTTCCCCCCCATTTACTCCGCACGCTTGCGGGCTGAGAAACAAATTGACTGCCATATAATTTTACAATGAAAGGAACAAAACATCAAATTTAGAGGACAAACACGACAAAGCACAAGAGCAAGATCCCCTCGCATAGCCCTGGCATCACCACCTCTCTCTCCACTCAATCACACACTCACACCTCCTGCCACCCCACGCATTACAGTTAAGCCACGAGGGGTGTTTATGGGATCTCTGGGGGTCTCAAAGGTGTGTGTGTCTCTCAGTTCATGCGCCTGGGGGTTAGGGGTAGGGTTATGACGGTGCGGTGTGATGTCCTCTGGCTCCTGCACTCTACACACACACACACTCTATAAACACTCTACACACACACTCTACACACACACACACACTCTACACACACACTCTACACACACACACTCTAAAACTCTACACACACTTTACACACACTCTACACACACTCTACACACACACTCTCTACACACACACGCTACACACACTCTACACACACACACTCTACACACACACACACTCGTCTACACACACACACATCTACACACACACTCTACACACACTCTACACACACACTCTCTACACACACTCTACACACACACACACACTCTACACACACACTCACACACTCGTCTACACACACGTCAACACACACACACTCGTATGCGCATACTCTCACACAGAGCTGATTGGGTGTGCGCACCCAACCAGCTCGGTCACCGACGTTTCATTTATATCCAAAAAATGCGCAACTTTCTTGATATTCTTCTTTGGTTCTTTCGGTAAAGTCACGTAGAATGGGAATAAAATAATAAATTGATCAAATAAAATAACACAATAAAATTCTCACGACGTTTCGGCCACAACACAAGCGGCCTCCAGACAGTCTCGTCCCTTCACCTGATGAAGGCCGCTTGTGTTGTGGCCGAAACGTCGTGAGAATTTTATTGTGTTATTTTATTTTATCAATTTATTATTTTATTCTCATTCTACGTGACTTTACCGAAAGAACCAAAGAAGATGAATCCTTGCAGTCACGAAAGCTTTAAATCGAAATTTCTTGATATTGTTTTTCCCGAGACCAAAGTACTCTGCAAACCTTCGGGCTACCATCAAAGATTTGTCCATGAAGCCATCCAGATATGTCAACACAGAGACAATTTCAACCGAGAAGATTGGTATAAGCTGAGCAATCATTGGAAGGACGTTATTAACCAAGAAGAGTCGTAACTTGCTGTGGTGCTTCCATTCTTCCCTGCCGTTTGGCTGTTATCTCCGACTCTCTGAGTTGCATTGCCCTGTTAGGTGCCTCTGCATTAACGGGCTGGGGTCTCACTAACATGGCCACCTCTGCTCCCTTAGCCTCGATGTATCGATGGTTCTGGCTGTGTGATGGGCTGTGTGTCTCACTGGCGCGACCACCGTTGCGGTGGTTCTCTTGCGTGGACGCGCTTGCCTTGCACAGCGCAGTTGGCAGCGCTGCAGCTTGTGTTACACATAGACATGACATGAACTTGCCAATCCCCCTAATCTCTCCCATCAACGTAGCGCTAATCTCCCATTAACACTGTTGTTGTGCGCATATGCGGGGACGATGCTGTTATGCGGCAACGGAAGCTCATTTCGTGCTAATCTCTCTCCCTAATCTCTCTCTCCCTAATCTCCCCCATTAACACAACTGACGTGCTTGCGTCCGGGGATGGAATTCCTTTCCAGCTCAGACCCCGCCGGCTTGCCTTTCGCCACATCTATAGCCTCTTGTTGTAACAGCTCTCTCGCTGGTTCAGCAGTTGCACTGCTGGATTGTTTTTTTCCGCCTGAGGACGACCGCTTGTGTTGCGATTTAAACGTCCTGATATATGATTTTGTTTTATTTTATTATTTTTCTACCTACGTGACTTGACTGAAAAACCAAGGAGTAATGCGCAACTTTACTCGGCGCATATTTTAGCAACAAACAAAACCCAGCGCGGGATTATAAAACGTCACACTCAAATTCAATATATGTTTAAAAAAAAAAATGTGATACCAAATCATGCGGTTTGCGAAAACGAAACAAGTTAAAAGTGGAAACGTACCTGGTTTCACTTCCACGGACGTGCCTAGCAGGGGAAGCCAAGCCGTGAGCGAGCGAGCATGTGTGTGATTGTGTGTGAGTGTGTGAATGTGTGTGAGTGAGTGTGTGCCAGGCCTGGTGGATGCCGAGCTGTGTTTATTGTGTTGCGTTATGGTCAGGGGGGATTTCCAGACCATGCGCTGTATCGAGAGATACATTTACGCGAGTGATTGAGGGAGGGGTTTTCCTGAAGCTGCTATAACCAAAGTCACGTTGAAGGCCCTCCGGTTGGCCACCACGTACGGCGCGAAATAAGTCCAACACATTTCCCGTCGCTTTCGGACAACTGAGCAAGGCTGAGGAGTTGGGAGAGACGGCAGTCGTTCCCTTCTTGCTCCGCGAGCTTTCACATCACCTCAAATCACACACAGGCACACAACAAACGTCACCGTCGCGGCCAAATCATCTCTCTTAATTTCAAATTGCGGGCACGTCTCGCTTTAACGGGCGCGTCTCGCGTTCCGCGGGGATTGCTCGTTAAGCGAACACTCGCTAAGCGATCGTCGCTTTCCCCCCATTTACTCCGCACGCTTGCGGGCTGAGAAACAAATTGACTGCCATATAATTTTACAATGAAAGGAATTAAACATCAAATTTAGAGGACAAACACGACAAAGCACAAGAGCAAGATCCCCTCGTATAGCCCTGGCATCACCACCTCTCTCTCCACTCAATCACACACTCACACCTCCTGCCACCCCACGCATTACAGTTAAGCCACGAGGGGTGTTTATGGGATCTCTGGGGGTCTCAAAGGTGTGTGTGTCTCTCAGTTCATGCGCCTGGGGGTTAGGGGTAGGGTTATGACGGTGCGGTGTGATGTCCTCTGGCTCCTGCACTCTACACACACACACACACTCTATAAACACTCTACACACACACTCTACACACACACACACTCTACACACACACTCTACACACACACACTCTAAAACTCTACACACACTTTACACACACACACTCTACACACACACACTCTACACACACACTCTCTACACACACACACTACACACACTCTACACACACACACTCTACACACACACACACACACTCGTCTACACACACACACATCTACACACACACTCTACACACACTCTACACACACACTCTCTACACACACTCTGCACACACACACACACTCTACACACACACTCACACACTCGTCTACACACACGTCAACACACACACACTCGTATGCGCATACTCTCACACAGAGCTGATTGGGTGTGCGCACCCAACCAGCTCGGTCACCGACGTTTCATTTATATCCAAAAAATGCGCAACTTTCTTGATATTCTTCTTTGGTTCTTTCGGTAAAGTCACGTAGAATGGGAATAAAATAATAAATTGATCAAATAAAATAACACAATAAAATTCTCACGACGTTTCGGCCACAACACAAGCGGCCTCCAGACAGTCTCGTCCCTTCACCTGATGAAGGCCGCTTGTGTTGTGGCCGAAACGTCGTGAGAATTTTATTGTGTTATTTTATTTTATCAATTTATTATTTTATTCTCATTCTACGTGACTTTACCGAAAGAACCAAAGAAGATGAATCCTTGCAGTCACGAAAGCTTTAAATCTAAATTTCTTGATATTGTTTTTCCCGAGACCAAAGTACTCTGCAAACCTTCGGGCTACCATCAAAGATTTGTCCATGAAGCCATCCAGATATGTCAACACAGAGACAATTTCAACCGAGAAGATTGGTATAAGCTGAGCAATCATTGGAAGGACGTTATTAACCAAGAAGAGTCGTAACTTGCTGTGGTGCTTCCACTCTTCCCTGCCGTTTGGCTGTTATCTCCGACTCTCTGAGTTGCATTGCCCTGTTAGGTGCCTCTGCATTAACGGGCTGGGGTCTCACTAACATGGCCACCTCTGCTCCCTTAGCCTCGATGTATCGATGGTTCTGGCTGTGTGATGGGCTGTGTATCTCACTGGTGCGACCACCGTTGCGGTGGTTCTCTTGCGTGGACGCGCTTGCCTCGCACAACGCAGTTGGCAGCGCAGCAGCTTGTGTTACACATAGACATGACATGAACTTGCCAATCCCCCTAATCTCTCCCATCAACATAGTGGTAATCTCCCATTAACACTGCTGTTGTGCGCATATGCGGGGACCATGCTCTTATGCGTCAACGGAAGCTCATTTCGTGCTAATCTCTCTCCCTAATGTCTCTCCCCCTAATCTCCCCCATTAACACAACTGACGTGCTTGCGTCCGGGGATGGAATTCCTTTCCAGCTCAGACCCCGCCGGCTTGCCCTTCGCCACATCTATAGCCTCTTGTTGTAACAGCTCTCTCGCTGGCTCAGCAGTTCCACTGCTGGATTGTTTTTTTCCGCCGGAGGACGACCGCTTGTGTTGCGATAGAAACGTCGTGCTATATTATTTTTTGTTTTATTTTATTATTTTTCTACCTTCGTGACTTGACTGAAGAACAAGGAGTAATGCGCAACTTTACTCGGCGCATATTTTAGCAACAAACAAAACCCAGCGCGGGATTATAAAACGTCACACTCAAATTCAATATATATATTTTTTTAAAATGTGATACCAAATCATGCGCAAGAAAAGAGAGAGACGTTTAATAAAGCGGTTTGCGAAAACGAAACAAGTTAAAAGTGGAAACGTACCTGGTTTCACTTCCACGGACGTGCCTAGCAGGGGAAGCCAAGCCGTGAGCGAGCGAGCATGTGTGAATGTGTGTGAGTGTGTGAATG